ACAACTTCTTCGCCTTGACCATTTCATTCGTGGAGAGAACGCTACGACAGTCTTCTAAAAGTGTGGTCACTCTCGTTTGTTCATCCTTGCTGGGGATCCCAGTCGATAGATATTGGCACCGACGCAACCAATCCACTTCCTCACTAGTACCAGCCAATGTGCCTTTTTCTATAATCTGTTTCTGATCACAAAGGTTCAGGACACGTACTTCTGAGATGTCGGCGGTTCTGACCAAGGTTCGAGCCACTTTCCATGGAAGGTCATTGTCTACCCTTTCCACGAGTACAGAACGAAGAGTTTGCCCAGGATTCCGAGGAAGTCTAACCGGCACAATCGTTTCCGATCTCGGCGGAAAAACAATCTTCTTAAGGCTGTACACATTTCCTGGTAACGCCCCATCCACGAAAAGTTCCTCTTGTCCACATTTCAAAACACCTTGCTTAACGTCGATCTCACAACAATTCTTTCTCATAAAGTCTAGGCCCAGGATGCAGTCGTCCATTATACCAGCCACGATGAGATTATGCAGGTAGATCATGTTGCCTAGCTTCAACTCGATCTCCTTCTCTCCACGGACGGGTATGCGGTGACCGGTGGCTGTCACCAAATTAATGCGTTCTCGGTTGTATGCGGAGTCTCCAAGGAACTGACTTATAAGTTGGGAACTGACAACCGTGCTCCAATGTCTATGGTCAGTTTACACGGCGTTCCGTTGACCTCGCCCTTGATGATTAGGCTGTTCCCATCATGGGTTTGTGAGATCGAAATCCTTGGGGCTCTTTGATCATCAGCCAGCACCCGCCCCTCAGTCCCGGCTTTTACTCGTTTCCCTGCTGCTGCTGGGCGGTGCTATTAGCCGCACTACTCTCTCGAGATCGATCACCTTCCCTTTCTACAGTTCGCTTCGGGCAGCTGGATCGAAGATGGCCCCTTTCTCCACAGCCGTAGCACCTAGGGCGGTAGCCGTTATTGCGGTCCCGAACTGTAGCTGCTGCAACCTCCCTGACGCGATGGGAACGTTGATCCTGCCGCACGGCTTCCATCTCCAGTGCATGGGTCAAGGCGTCCTTAAGCGTTTCGTGGTGCCCGAGCCTCACAGCAGCTCTGACTTCAAGGTCGCGGATGCCGTCGATGAATGTCTGCACCAGGTTCCCTACAATGAGCGCAGGTACAGACTGGTATGCTTTTCGAACCAGCTTCTCCACCTCAAGGGCCCACTGCTGCAGGTTTTCGTTACTGGGTTGCACGCGATCTTTGAGCTGCGCACGAAAGACGTGTTCCAGGTGAGCGTCGCCATATCTCGCCTCCAATGCCTCAAGGAGCTGCTCGTAAGTCACTTCCTTACCGAGAGCTTCCAGAATAGTTAAGGCCTGGTTGCGCAGGCCTATGTTGAGAGCAGTCATGGCTTGACTTTTATTCCAGCCGTTCGTCTTCATGACAGCCTCGAATTGGATTTTGTAGGCTGACCAGGAAGAAGTTCCGTCGAACGGCGGCACTTGGAATCCACGTAGCGAAGGTGTTGTAGCTACCACGGGAGCTGTAACTCCCTCCCCAATTTTGAGGTCGTCCAGCGATTTCTTCACGTAAACCATCACGTTGTCAACCCGATTGTTAACTTGGTCGATTCGGGTTTCAGCTTCCGACCGGCGGTTGTCATGTTGAGCAACCCTATCCTTCACCTCCTTTATCTCTTTCCCGAAGGTAGCGTTAAGGTACCTTTCTGAGGAGCATTTGCTCTTCCATACCGCGCTGCAGCTGCTCTTCTAACCGACGGGCCTGTTCCTTCTGTCGGCGGACCTGTTCATCCTGTCGGCGGGCCTGCTCCTGCAGCATCATCATCAGAACACCTAAGTCAGGTGCTGCAGATGCAGGAGCTGCTGACGGGCCGGCCTCCGTGGTCGGCAGCAGGCCCTCCGACGTTTGCGGCGATGCAATACCAAATCGTCTTTGGTCCGTCTCCAGCTGGTGTTGATTACGGGTACGGATACCTTCCATGTCGTCCTTTGGTAAAATCGGCATGATTTGATCCCACTTCTGACACCAATTGTTACGAGCTTGGGGTTCGAGACAGTTAAAAACTGCCGATTGAATTACCAAAATTGACACTTTAATTACACAACACTAATTACAATCTAAAACCACACTGATAATAAAACACAATTGTACTACTGATCACTTAAGTTCGCAGTTGCTTCGCTTCGAAGTATTCTCTTGTATCGGCAATTCAATACTGCCCCGCTCGTAGTCTATACCGGCCTTAGATAGTTTCCAGAACCTTCTACTGTAGCGACATCTAGAATGTGCGAGTACATATCGGTCCCGAAATTTCTAGAAGGATCTTGACTCTCCTAGTTCTGCTACTCGACACTAGAGGGCGCTAGTGGTGACTAGTGTTGCCATGTACAAGACATTAATAGTGGCGCGCAACATTATTATCATGTCAAAGAAGGTTGGTGAAATCGTACCAGACGAAGAAACGATGGCGACACTATATGCTATATTTATGAAAAATACCCTTATTTTTTAAGGTCTTAAAAACAAAAAATACCTATCGAAGTAGCCACAAAAAAAGTTATCCTTTATTTTTGTGACTGTTCCGAAATTATTTCAAATAATGGTTTCAGAACGCACTGGAAACGCACCTAATGACGATTCATTTCGCGTATGAAAAGACTTGTATTCAAAGACTATAATTATTCACGTTTTTCTGAATAGTTGTTAATTGTAATTCAGTTCGTATGTTAAATTAGTATGTAGGCATCAAATCAACTACTATTACTGATTTATTACGTACTGGATTCATGTCATAAAAATAATTGTGTAGCTTCATAGTAAGCTAAGCGTTTTGTTCAATTACGAACAATGGAACGTCATTTGTCATCTACAAGTTACATAATCTGTGGTCATCGATCGACGCCATTGATTGTCATCCGGCAATCATTCGCATCATCTTATTTGCTTCACTCGTTGTTGTGGATTGTGATACGTACTGTACTATTTTAGATTTCCTTCTGTTGTTTTGACCTCGGCATTGATTTACGGACTGATAACTACCACTTGTAACGATTATTCTGTGCTTTTTACTTCTGGACACCGGCACTTTTTGACATCTAATTTTAGGAGTCTGGTGGACAGACAAGGGGTGCGCTTTGAGAGATGTCCTATTTTTTGGGTAATGATCTGAGAGAAATCGAAATAAATGGAAACGAGATTACTAATTACCCTCCTCGCTTATCGCTTACTACACTTTTAGGCTACGTCGCAGTCAGGTAAAAGGTAGTTGTTGATTCTAACCTCAAAAGTATTGTTGACGTTATTATAAAAAATTGTGGCTATTTATATATCATTTTCAAACGGGATGGTGTTTACAACATAAAAACAAACCAATCTAGCTATAATAGTTTGTTTTGGGACATGAAAAATAAAAATAAGTCCAGCTCCTATAGAAATTTGGCTATTGTTCTTTTGGCTTTGTGGAGACTTAGTTTATTCCCAAAACCATCATGATCATCAAAATATCGAATGAGTGTAAAATATTGTAAATAGTTAGCTGATAATTTACATAAAAAAATAAATTATATACATAAAATTAATATACAGAGGAGCGCTCGTAAGCGTATTTGTTGCCCATAAATCACATTAAATTTGGGATAATCTTTATATTATATAAAAATTACGTATCACGTTGTTTGACCGCGATGGACTCTTAAACTACTGAACTGATTTCAATGATATTTTGCACATTGTGTGCAGTTTGGTCCAACTTGAGAGATAGGATAGTTTTTATCCCGATAAGCGACCTTCAATTTTTTTATTGCTAATCTCAGAAGTTTTTTTAGAAAAGCAAATGGTCGTCGGAAAGGGCAGGAAAACGTCTGCCTGGTCAGCTAGTTTCATATAAAAGTAGAAGCCTTATTTACTAGTATTTTCAAAAACTGCAATAACGGTATATTATTATTTATATATATCAACTTAAGTTTAAAATCTGGCTACTCTTTGAAAAATACCCTTGTATAATGATTTCTTATATTTACGCGAACACTACACATTTTTAAATAAAACTAATTTTACGGATTTTATCGCGTATATTAACTTATTTAAAAAAAAATTAATATTTAAAAAAAAATTAATATTAAAAAAAATAATATTAAAAAACTGAAGGTAGCCGGGCTAACTATGACAGCAGGACGTCAAACAACTCAGTCCCCCGTGACCACGGGTGCTGGAAAGCACCCGAAACGTCGGGAATATATAAAAATAAGTTAATATACGCGATAAAATCCGTAAAATTAGTTTTATTTAAAAAATACCCTTGTATTTTAATAACTTCATTGATATCAGAATGATAGTTTTTCTATCAGAGTTACCACAGCTCATAATACATATGACTCAATAGATTTGTGGATACTGCTCTTATTCTACAGAAAACCAATTAGGTATTTAACATTCTAGTCAAATTAAATACTTTTTAAAAGTTGTTAGAACAAGTTTCTAGGCGCAACTTTAAAACCTCACTAAAAGTAGGAAATTTAAATTTATTTATTAACGACTTCAGGCTGAGTTATTCCATATTAGTAATCACGAATGGTAATGTATCTATAGGATGTATAGAAGTCATTGGCATCGATTGAACCAATAATTTTACTCATATAGAGGAAAATGTTAAATTAAATTAGGTCTTTGTGTAATTTGTTATCAATGTATGCGACCTTGAATTTGCTTTTGCCCTAATCGATAAGCTGTCTTTGCAATATTTTAAAGTTTACGGTTTAGTTGTGTTTATAGCATGACGTAAACATGAAATAACATTAGTTATTTCGTGTTTACGTCATTAGTATATTCTTAGTTTAAAAAGATGTCTATTATTCAATTTCACCATGTATAATTTCAGTCTTTGTTTGAAGTTGGTTGTAAGTGTTCACGGACTGCAGTAACCATTTACTACAGTGGCTTGTTACCCATATGTTACTCTTGACTCTTGTTATAAAAACACCCCGTACCTGATTCCTCACTGACACGTTAGTCCGGGACAGGGTGATGAAAAACTGGTTCTCTATGTAGATGTAGTGCTGGGCTCTCGTGATGGTGTCGACGTACGCCTCGTGTATACTCTGCTCCACGGTGTCCGGGTCCAGGAAGCCACACGACCAGCAAGACACACTGCGCAGCACCTTAAATTATACATACAACTTCAGAAAGAAAATATCCGCTATAATTAATTTTGTAATAAAACTAGAAACTTTTTTTTTATATTATTCTAAGCCAGCGCTTTACTACAATCCCACCTGATGGTAAGTGGTGATGTAGCCTAAGATGGTGAAGCGCACTGACTTAACAAAAGCGAATTCACTCTTGCCCTGAAGACACCCACATTATACTCGGATGAAAACACAGATACTGGCAAATTATTCCACTCCTTTGCTGTACGCACGATGAACGATGTAGCAAACCGTTTAGTGCGAATGCGTGGTAAGTTAACAATGAAGGGATGGAGACTGGCCGAACGTCTGGTTGTCCGATGGTGGAAGGGAGAGGAAGGAATTAAATTATGCAATTCCTGCGCACACTCCAAAATGCATCCTGTAGAAAACCGAAAGGCTGGCTACTTTGCGCCTGTGTTCGAGACTGGTAAGATTGGTTTAACCAAATTCGGGTCACCAATAAGCCTCTTAGCTCGTCTTTCCATTGAGTCTAAAGCTACTAGGTGGCATTTTGCAGCACCAGCCCTTTTTCATTCAATATAGGTTATATAATTTACCACTGGTTCGAAAAATTCCTCTGTCCTGGAAAGAAGCAGCTAGAAAACCAGTTAAAAAATAAAAATAAAGCAGTTTACAATTATGTTACACAATCAACAACACAAAACAAATCTATACAGTCATTGACTTATATATTACTAGCGTAAGGACTGGGCCAACTGCGCAACTAAATAGCACAAATGTGTTGGCACTAAAATATGACAGAGTTGGATTCAGACTCTCAAAAATATTGTACATCCATACAAATAACTAAAACTGAAGTGTCTGTTTGTAATGTCAAATTAACAGCTTTTTACTAAATGCACATGAAAGTACATGCAACAAAAGCACAATATTTAAAAATTTTGCCTGTCTCTCTGTTTATTCCCGCTAATCTCCGAAATAGCTCGAGTTACTTAGGCTACTTTTATTTTAGAAAAAGAATTGGGGTTCCACAAAATAAATTAAAACCCAAATTTACACGCGGGCGAAGTCGCGGGGAACAGCTAGTTCTAAGAAAAAGTTATTAAATTATCGTATTGTAATCGGTCCTTGATACGAGTGCCATAAATGCAAATTGTTGGGCGTTTTATGGCCAGAATTGGGCATTCCCCTTTTCAAGTCATTCGGCATTCTACAAGTTGGTCAAAATTACATTAAAAGATGGATAGATAGATACAGGCGAAGCTAATAAAAGCGTGTTAAAAAAACCTGCATCCATCGACTTCCTACGTCTTACTAGGTCGTCACTTTATCTAGAGGGCGTAAATTAAATTGCTGCTTACCTGACACGACACAGTTTTCATATCAATGTTCAGAGTTTCTTCAAGGTCTTGCAGAGGCTTTATTTCACTGTATGTTTTTGGCAGAAGGTACGGATAGTTTGCGTTTTGTCTGTAAAAAATAACAGACCATTAAAAATAAAAATTGACCAGAAAGTATAGAACTATTTTTTTAACGAAAAGTATTACAGATCTCACTTGTTCACCTATAAGCCATAAATAGTATTATTTACTTTGTAATCGGACTCTGACACTGTTCTCCGTAGCTGGTCTGGCTTTTTACATTTGAGATGGAACACAATCTGTCTGTGATCCAGAGAATTCCTGAAATTGCTCATAATCTCTTTGCTCATAGACCACGCGGTGAAATCGGATAACGGATTTTCTTACCCTATCTACAAGCTAGAGATCTCACTCATTCTTTGTTTGCATTCACTGTTTGTATCTTCGTAAGGAAACCTGCATATTAAAGTGTTTGCCCAAGGTCTTTAATCTGGATGCAGCAGGAGCTTATGGGTGACGATGAGGACTGTTGCAGTAGGTTCAATGACTTTCTAATAGAAATCTTTATCTTTTTACAATCTTTGCATATAATAATTAAAAATCCTATATGCATGTATAAATACAATTAACTATCTTGATTGAAGTTACAAGAGAATGCCTTTGTAACTAAAGGTACAAAGTGGTAGAACCGTCAAGTCCAAAAAATCAAAGAAGAAGAGAAGAGAAGAGACTTCACCTGGGCTATGTATCACAGTTGCGTTTCATTTTACGATAAAAACGTAACATTGAGAAAATAGAAAGATTTAAAAAAAATATGGTAAACTTTATAAAAGTTTACCATATTTTTTTTAATCATCATCATCTACAATTCTTCGGAAAGAACTGAAAGGAGTAAAGGTAGAGTGAGAGTCTGAGCTCCAACAGTGGAACTTTTGAACTTACGTAGGTTGTTTATTTTATTGAAAATGTATATTACCTATATTTTTCCAATTTGATAGCATTCCATCTCTGTATAAAATGTCGAGCCACGTCTCTAGCGGCTGCGCCTTGTACAAGAACACCGACGTCATGCCAAGGCATTCTCGGCGTTGTGTTCCTGTCCACTAAGTCTGAAATGGAGTGCGTTATTTAAAAGCTATCAAGGATTATATGGATTTTAGCAATCCTATACAAATTTCCCTTTAATATTGTTTTTTATAAAACTGAAGTGATAAACGAACTTATAGTTCACTTTATAGTAATTGGTAGAAAAAACCGCTATTGCAGTTTTTGAAAATACGTGTAAATGAGGCTTCTACTTTTATTTGAAATTATCCCAAATTGAATGTGATTTATGGGCAACAGCTACGCGTACGCGCGCTCTTGTGACTATGATTCAATTCAATAAGTTTTTGCCTACTGTTTACTTTCTTAGTAACACTTTATTACGTGGTAGACCCATGCTGCAACTATATTACTAGTATAGTTGTAGCACGAATGGGTCGGCTCGACCGGGGAAGGACCACGCTCTCACAGAATACCAGCGTAAAATAGCAGATTAACGCTGCTGTGTTTCGTATGGTGAGTGTAGAGAACCGGAGACTCTTTTTACTGGCAAAGAGGCATTCCATCTTAGTCCTCACGGGCGACAACGCATCTGCATCTTGAGTCTTTATTGAGGATAGATGTAGATATCTATGGGTCACAGTAACCACTTATCATCAGGTGGACTGTGTGCTCATTTGTCACCCTATCCTATAAAAAAAACACGCTTACTCCTAATGCTTAAGTTTTAAATTACAAGTTATTCAAAATTCAAGGTAGTATTCATAGATATTCACGGTTGATCTTGCATTACAGTACGTATAGCCGAGAGCTGCGCGCTCACGGCCCTATATCGCAAAAACGGTCGACCGCATGAAAAAATTATTCAAATAAAATTTGTCGCAAATTTACAATTTTTATAATAGACGTTAACATTGTTGGAGCAATAAAAACCGAGATAATTGCGTACAACGGTTATTTTACCTGTGACCTTGAATAACTTACGACGCAGACACTAGATTTTATGAGACTTTTGAGACAACTTTTAGAACGCCATAATGAAGGTATATACGAAAATTCAGCTTATTATCTCTCCTTCCGAGGTTGTTCGCTAGTTTGACTGGACTATTTCTTTAATAATGTAAATAACAATAAACAATTTAAGAACATAGGGACAGTATCCTTGTTACATTGACAGATTGAGTTCTAATGCCATCACGACCTGTGGTGCTGTTTTTAATTGATATAATAATTGATGCTATTTCAGTGTCATTTGTGGGTATAAGAAATATTGAAATATCATGGAATGGAATAAAAAAATAAATAAAATAAAAGATTATAATTTAAATTATCCTCTTTTGGGTGGGTCACAATTCTATAAAATAATTATTAAACAATTCACCACATTGGGCTCATTATGAATTACATCATTTTTATTTATCCATTATCCATCCATAACAGCCAATAAAAAAACACTGCTGAATGGCCTCCTCCATACACTGCATCAATTTGGGGTTTGTCATAGTTGCTACACGGATTGGCAACCGCAGTTTTTTTATTATTTTTGAGCTGTTATTAGGAAGATGCTGCTGCCTATGTCCTGTTTCAGTTTCCTTCTGTCGCCTCTTACAACTAGAGGCGTAGCATGGACTAATATAGACGTGGACAGTAGGCATGGGTAATATCACTTTTACCCTATATCAAATCGTACCTATGTATTGGATATGAATATTCGATATTGTATATATATATATATAGCGAGACGCCTTTTCTTTCGTTCCCAAGATCTACCCAATAGATCTATCCGACCATACATGCTTTGACACGACATACCTCCTCATAGCTATTAATATCTGACAAGTCTTGTATTTCGTCAATGTAACGATCGCAGTTATTGAAGGTAGTTACATAGGCCTTGCATTCGCGCTTAAGAGGGGCTCCTTGCGAGGCCCCCAACAAACACGCTTTTAAATTTGTAATAATCGTAAAAGTAATCAAATTAATTAGTCATCTGTGGTAAAGTCTGGAGGCATCGCACTTACCCTTTAAGTGCGAGGCCGTGGGCGAGGGCCAACTTCGTCCAAGCCTAGCTACGCCACTGCTTACAACACCAATGGGACGATAGGGTGTAGTGGATATTGATTATAACTTTTTGGTTTTCTAGCGTTTGAGCTATATGAATTTATTTATTAGTACTTTATTGTACTATTAATATGTTGTTCCCAATAATATGACACTTCTATTATTATTATTATTTTTAGTGTACCGAATATACAAATGTAATTTTTCTGCATGTACGTTTAAATTCTTTACTCAACCACTTTTGATACCTGAATCTTTTGCGGATATTTACAAGAATTTTTGAAAGGCAAAGTTTATTAAATAGCTTGAATAAACTCTGTAATTCATTAACTGCTGAGTTAGCTTTGTCCTTATTGCAAATTTCTGTAAATGATAGCGCTGATATACATGAATAATAAAATAATGATAGATATGAAGACTGGTGCAAAGCAGTTATAGTCCCAATATATAAGGGAAAGGGGTCACAGCAGGACTGTAAAAAAAACTACCGTGGTATCAGCTTGCTTAGCATTGTTGGTAAACTGTATGCTAAGGTGTTAATTCAAAGAGTTATGGAAGAAACTGATGGAAAAATTTGGGATGTGTAAGCTGGATTTAGAAAGGGGATGGGGTGTACGGATCAAGTCTTTTCCATGCGCATGATTGCGGAGAAATTTTTGGCCAAAAACAAGAAAGTTTTTTGTGCGTTCATGGACTTGGAAAAGGCTTATGACAGAGTGGACAGGAATGTGTTATGGCAAACATTGAACTCATTTGGGTTGAGCGCTGGTTTGACACAGGCATTAAGGTCTCTTTATAGGGACTCTAGGTGCTTGTGTCAGGATCAACGGGGTCTACTCGAACTGGTTTGGCATTCAAAAAGGTGTCAAACAGGGCTGTGTAGCTTCCCCGTGGCTGTTTAACCTATTTATGGACAGTTGTTTGCAAACTTTGAAAGTTGAAGAATGTGGGTTGAGAATGATCCGATGATCAAGTCATATTTGCATCGCCGGCGGCCGAGTTGCAAATGATGGTTACTTTAATGAACTGGTCATTAAAAGAAAGGGGTACGAAAGTGAACGCAAGTAAGACGAAAGTAATGGTTTTTGAAAGAGAAGAAAGTAAAACGTTACGTGAAATAAGAATAGAAGGGGAGTTGATTGAGCAAGTGGATGAGTTTGTATATTTGGGATGTATATTTAGCAGGGATTGTAGATATGATAAGAATATAGAACGACGAGTGAACGCAGGAAATAGAGTGAATGGGGCTCTACACGCTATTATGAGGAGTCAGATTGTGTCAAATAAGGCACGTATGGCAATTCATAATGCTGTGTTAGTCCGTACTTTAATGTATGGTAGTGAAAGTTGGGTCTGGCATGCGAGTAGAATAAATGCTGTAGAAATGTGGTCCTTAAGGAGTATGCTAGGGCTAAATCTGAATGACAGGGTGAGAAATAGTGTGATAAGAGAAAAGTGTGGTATGCAAGATGAAGTTGTGACCAGGATTAAGAAAGGAATTCTTCGGTGGTTTGGTCATGTAGAAAGAATGAACGAGGATAGAGTGACAAAGCAAATTTATGTTGCAGAAGTGAACGACAGGGTCGGGAAGGGACACCCTAGACGAAGGTTTATCGACCAAATCGGCGATACATTAAAAATGTTCCAGATTAGGAGTACCCTTAACCGACGAGCGTGTATGCGTAGATATATGGATGTAAAGGAGGGGAGAGAGGTGTGCCAGGATCGCGCCAAATGGAAGTCCGTAGTCTCTGCCTACCCCTCTGGGTGACAGGCGTGAGTGTTTGTGTTGTGATATACATGTTATTAATGTAATAATATTTTGCTTTATTAACTTTTGGTATGGTGTATTCTTTTGAAAGCGAAAGTAAAGTAGACTCTGCGGTGAACGCAGTCTACTTCACCTGAGGACGCCTCGCATAAAGGCGAAACTCTCGTCGTATTATCGAGGGTGGTGTGTCTTTCCGAGTGTAGTGGTGTTAGGAGTAGTAGTTATGGGAATAGTGCACACAATTAAGGGCGGGAGGTGCTCTTCAAACTAGGTAAGACACGTGATTTTGTTTTATTAGGCGGATCATAGCAAATTAATTTTGAGCATCTATAATATACTCGTAGTTTGAACTTTTTCATATGGTAGACCAAGAAAATGAACCCTATAAATATTGCTAGCTATTCGGTCTTTTTCCGTGTCGTAATATTTATGTGCAATTTTAAAGTTTCTAAGAATTTTGCTGGACACAAATCTCTTTTTGTATGGAGGATTTGCCATAATCGCTGCGATTGACAGGCGGAATGCCTCCCGGTCACCGATCTGGGTATTACGTCTACCGTAAGCGAGATTTATATGCTATCCTGTTGGAAGCAATGAGATCTTTCTGGTATATCTTATATTCGAACATTACGTTGGCTACGGTAAGAAATGCGGTGGATTCTATACATGAAATATTGATCCGATCGTCTGAAAAAGCAATTTCAAATCGTAGAATATAGCTATAGTTATCGAGCAATCCAATCGAGTAATTTTAAAGTTACAATAGCTCGTCGATCACATCAGCATTTTATAAAATGTTAATTAAAACTCACCTATAAAAGGCAGATCTAAGTTATTAAAGTCCTTCACAATGAAATTCGTGTAATCCTTCCCAATCCACAGCTTTGAATTCCCCTCTATCCCCTCCAAAGCCTCTTTTGTACTCTCAGTTATAACCCTTCCCTCCACCACTTGTGCTAATGGAGGGGGTTGGCTCACTGCTTTATTTGTTTTAATTCCTAGAACGTCAGTTAGAAGAACTTGATTATTTGATAACGCATACTTTTCCGCTTTCTTCCGTTCGGAATCATCAAACTTCTGCTCATTCCTCTCTTCCTCAAAAGGGGGGTAAATCATGCTAATTATGTCTTTCCCTCTGTCCGTGATTTTATTTAGTACATTTCTCTTTTGGTTGTCCGGCCCATCGAGTTGTGAGTCGTCCACTTGTTTAGTCGAGGTTATTAGTAGCTGGTCGCCTGGTTCTAAAACTGGTAAGTTCTCCGGTGGCTTTTCTATTTCGGTTTGTGACTGTTCGTCTGGTTCTTCAGTTTCGGTCACGTTGTCTTGTAACGGCCTGTAATGTGAATTATTTTAAGACAGAATAATATAAAATTATTATTAAGTTACGATCTTATAATTTCTATTGTTAATCATTGCTTTTACGGTATCGTTATTTAAATTGTTTAAAATTTTTACTTTACACTAATTATAAGCAATGGAGTTTCTTTATTTATTTAAATTTAAGCCAATCAAAAGTCTACTGGTGATTATAGTTGCACGGATCCTCTATAGTTTGCCTCATATGAAGGATAATCACCATAGTTGTAACACTTGGTAGGAAAGTTGGCAACCGCAGTTTTTATTAAATAATTTTATAAAAATATTCTCTTTCCCATATCGTACCGTGGGTGTTGTAAGAGGCGGAAGTAACGTCATCCTGACAACAGCAACAAAATTGTAATATATAATAATTATTAATAAATAAGTATGTAATAATATTGAGATATATACTAAAATGCATAATACACTATCAAGCAAAACATTCGAATAAAAATTCGCAAATGCCTTTTTTAAATCTTGATTTTTTTAATATTAATAAAAACAACTTTCGTCTGAAATACCAAGATTTGATAATTATAACTTACTCATTGAGCCCCATAACGATGTCCCTGGAACTCTTAGCTAATTCCAGTGCAGCATCGAATCCGTTGCCTTGCGGCACATAAATCCCGCCGCCTGGGGAACTAGACGTTTTTTTCTTAGTCCTTATTGACGTCTTTGATTGAGCTATGTTACCTAGATCTGTCAATCTGAAAAAAAAACATGTTTAGTTTTAATAATAGTAATAAAAAAGTAATCAATCTCCTCTTCATCATCATTACTGCAGTCCATAGACACCTGCAGCTAACTTCATACAAATAAGTCGAAGAGCTAAGATAGAATGCCTTATAGCCTGTAACTTTACTAGCTCTTTACACCCTTTTACAACAGTACAAACACTGCTATTACACTGATAACTACCTAATTATTAATTTATAATTCTTATTATAAATAATATACTATGAAACTTTCATATCTTAAAAGCACCAACATAAGTGTCAAAGTGTCTATGCTCAGTAAACTTACAACACTAGCTAGTATATCAGGCTCAATGGACCAAAACACTATTGTTCTATGGAAATAATAATGATTAAGTATAGATAATATACATACGTACAAGTAAAAAGGAATGTTTAATGCATTAAGCGTTTAAAATGCTCGGATTTAATTTGTCAATATTTCTAGGCAGGTTCAAAACACAACGCAAAAATTCAAGTTAGTACACATAAAATATAAAGCTATTCATAGTTGACGGGGCTAATCAAAAAATGCATTTACAGCCACGACATGAAGTTACGCAACCAGTGATCTAAATTTATTGAATTTTTTTTTATAGGATTGCTGTGACAAACTAGCACACTGTCCACCTGATGGCTTACCATCTTATGGTTACTGTGGCCCATAGACATCTACATCTATCCTCCATTACGAATTAAAATGCAGATGCGTTGTCACCCGTGAGGACTAAGATGGAATTCCTCGTTTCCAGTAAAAAGGGTCTCCGGTTCTCTACACTCACCATACGAAACACAGCAGCGTTAAGCTGTTATTTTACGCTGGTATTCTGTGAGAACGTGGTCCTTCCCCGGTCGACCCATTCGTGCTACAACTGTACCAGTAATATAGCTGCAGCATGGCTCTACCACGTAAAATTATAGTTATGGATAAATATCTCTAATGGTGAAATAATAGTTACCTATGTTTATGGTCATCCCATCGGCCATAGCACATGTCGATTCCACCGACAAAAGCGACAGTCTGATCCACACATACGATCTTCTCGTGATGGGCCCAGAACAGCACACCAGCTTTCGCGTGGTCTGGGTGTCGAAAGACCTGGGACCGAAATTTACCGCATGAAAGTAAAAAAAAATAATAATTATTAAATGATATTTTCATCCAAAATAATTGATTTCACTGACTTTATCACATAGAATTAAAACTTATTTTAGAATTCCGTCCGGAGTGCTTTGCAACACTAATTGAAGATTTTTATTAGCATTTAATTGTCAAGCAAACTAAATTATATTTTCCAGTGTAATTGTTATTGCAAATTTCAAACGAGATATTCGGAATTTGTTGCTAACTTAACTTTGTTGGATCAGTCCACAAGAATTCTAGAAAGATCTATTTCAAAGTTTCCATTTAGTTGAATTGTGCGTAGTGTAACTTACTTTAATATTTTCATTTTTCCTAGTTAAAATGGCCTTGCTGTAGTAGCTGTTGATGCCGAGTGCCATTTCGACCTCCTTGTACAGCATCACAAACACCTTCACGCCCTGCGCCTAAAGTGGTAGAGAACTGTACTGTTTAATATCTTTATCATAATTTTCGCACATTGTTTAAGGGTATCAATTTACTGTAATACACAGAGATTCGATGGAGAGTCAATGAGGTAATTTCTTCTAAGTACACGACTCACTAGTTCGGGAGGGAGGACGAAAGAATTATCGTAATTGTAATAGGTGTTTGCAACAAAGTATTCGATGCGGGCGAGAGTGAAAATATAGTGGCATGATTTCGAAAAACCACCAGTTTAACTGCGTAAGCCATACAATTATTCATAATATGGTCATAATAAAAATATTTCGTACAAATTTTTTTTTTATAGGAGAAGGGTAACAAACGAGCACACAGTCCACCTGATGGTAAGTGGTTGCTGTGGCCCATAGACATCTACATCTATCTTCGGTTACGAATGAGAATGCAGATGCGTTGTCATGCAGACTAAGATGGAATGCCTCGTTTCCAGTAAAAAGGGTCTCCGGTTCTCTACACTCACCATACGAAACACAGCAGCGTTAAGCTGCTATTTGACGCTGGTATCCTGTGAGAGCGTGGTCCTTCGCCGGTCGAGCCGACCCATTCGTGCTACAACCATAATATAGCTGCAGCATGGCTCTAAAACTAATTGATGAAAAATTACCATTTTTTTTTACCTAAATGTCTTATTTGATTTCCCACACTATGTAAGCGAACAGGAAGACATTTTGTTGGTTTATTTGCACGTAAATGTTTTAAAAAGTGACAATATTATTACGTGCACAAATATTTAACCCTTGGTCCGTACTAAAATAATTAGTTCCGCGTGTGCACAGTCAATGAGGACAAATAATATTCCGCTCACAAGATGTCGCTAGTTGAGACTGAGGTGAAGTTTATTGTCACACAGTGCCATTTAATTAAGAAGTTACTTAAATAAAAGTTTATCAGTTTCTAAAGTATCATATTCATACATAAAGCAATACATCAGTGGTTTGCTCTTTAATTTTTTGAACATTTTAAAGTCTTTTTAAAGTGAAGACTTATTTAGAATCGTTGTGATTTGAAACTACATGAAACGAAAATCCGACGCTGGCACGGTGGTAGAAAAAGTTCTGGATGCCTTCAATAGCTATAAAGTCTTTGCAATGGTCTGACCCCGCTTGTTGGATGTCAAATTTGATTTAATTCGCATTACGAAAGCCTCTATTTAGACTAGTCGAATGCCTGGTCTTTCAGTTTAAATAGAACAATAGAATTCAATTTTCAACACAAAGGATCGATTATCTTGAAGTACTTTTCAAAATTCAATCACTGAATTGAAGAGTGACGAATACAAGTTTTCTGCAACTATGAATTACACTGGCGATGGGATATAGATGTCAGACCATAACATTATCGTAGACAGGCGAGACAGGTCCAACATGAATTATTCTTTAATTTTTCTCTGTAAGACTGATAATATCTCTGAGATGACTTTACTTTTGTTTACTCACCGCCTTCCGCTTTAAGATGCAGTCGAGCCGCCAGTAGTTTCCGTTGAGGGTGGGTCTCTTCATGTACAACTCGGGGCTGAGCCACCAGTCGGCGATGAAGATCTCCTCCTTCGCCAGCTCCATGGCGTCGGCCACCGCGGACAAGTACGCGCAGCCGTCCACCAGCGCGCAGGCGCCGGTGCCGGCCCGCGGCGGCGCGAACGAATGGTGCACGTTCGGGAACGTGAAGTCACGCGCTGCTCACATATTATATTACTATTAAATATTTAATCCGTAGTAGCTCAGGCGTTCGACTTAAGTTTTTTTCAGTGTGGCAGCGCAGTCATCGCGCCACAAGCGATACGAACCGAAAATATACAAACATAAATTTTACGAGGACAAACATCCAGACCAGGAACAATTATTTTTAGGCCATACAAGTACTTGTTCCGTGCGGGATTCGAACCCGCGGCCTCCAGCGCAACAACTCATTGCTAAGCCACTGCGCCACGGAGCCGCCGAGTATAGAATAGATGAGGATAGAAATAGAATCCTGAAAAGAAACGAGCAATGTAGTCCACCTGATAGTAAGTGAAGAGTTTGTCCATCATCATCATCATTACAGCCCTTTACAAGTCCACTGCTGAATATAGGCTCCCAAGAAATGCCACAAAGCACGGTCCTGAACCACCTGCATCCATCAACTTCATGCAGGTCTGTGCATGTCTTACCAGGTCGTCACTCCATCTAGTGGAGGGACGCCCTACACTTCATCCGCCGGTACGAGGCCGCAACTCGAGAACCATTTTTCCCCATCGGTTGTCGGTTCATCGTGCTTCGAGCGTTGGGCTATGTAGGTCAATCTGGTTCTGCTGCGGATATCCTCATTTCTAAGTTTATCACGCAGAGAAACTCCGAGCACAGCCCTCTCCATAGCTCGCTGAGCGACCTTGAGCTTCCTCATCCGGCCAGCAGTGAAGGACCACGTCTCACTTCTATAAGTCGTCACTGGCAACACTGTTTGCATAGTCTGGTTTTCAAGTTTTGAGGTATACCTGACGAGAAGATGTGCCGTAATTTCCCGAACGAAGCCCAGCCGAATTGAATCCCTCGATTGACCTCTCGGTCGAAGTTGGACTTACCTAGTCGGACTATTTGTCCCAGGTAAACATACTCGTCGACAACTTCGAGCTTAGTACTAACAACTACCGGCATAGGTGTGACATGGACGTTATACATGATCTTTGTTTTGTCCATGTTCATCTTAAGATCTATCCGTTGGGAGGCACTATTGAAATAGACAGGCATAGAGGACCTTACTCCAGCGATTCTGCCATAAGGACTTTATCGTCGGCAAATCGAAGGTGAGTAATGTACTCACCGTTTATGTTAATACCGTATCCTTTCCAATGCAGTGGTGAAGAGTTTCGGGCATATAACGTCACCCTGTCTTCTTTCCCTACCTTCAGCTCACCGTTCTCTCTTGTGCCTAGTTTTGCGTTGAAGTCTCCCATTGACACCGTATAGTGGGTTTTGGAGGAATGCATATTTTTAAGGTGCTGGAGAGCCATTCTAATCTCGCTCAGACTGACGTCCGGGATATCATCGGAATAATGTCGGATAAGACTCGCTCTTGGATCGTTACTCACACTTTCGTGTGACTCCAACGATGACGTGTACAGCTGCCCATAGAACCTCTCAAACTCACTCAAAATCTCAGGTGCCCCGGAAACGATGCTGCCACATTCTGTCTTCAGCTTTGACAGTTGGCTCTTTCTAACAGACAGATCTCTGGCAAAGACTTTGGAGCCTAGGTTCCGCTCGATCACTTCTTCAATACGAGCTGTAGTGAAGTTGCGTAAGTCCCGCCGCATGCATTTGGAGATCTGTCTGTTCAGTTGCCTGTATGCTGTCAAATCTGTTGAAGAATGTAGCTTTATCTCCCGTCTAACAACCATGAGATTAAGAGTGTGATCGGAGAGTTTTTGTGTTCTTCTGCGGCGGGTCTTGCAGAACTTAGCTCCGACCGCATGGACAGTTTCCACGAGCTTGTCATTCATATCGTCCACTTCATTGCAGTCTTCTAGGCACTGAAAACGGTTTTGTAACTCGAGCTGAAAGGTTTCGGGACTTTGGATTAGAGCACGAGGGGGACGGAGCGTTGACTTCATTAGACGAGACCTCTCCAACCTAACGTTTAGGTTCAGTGTGCCTCTAACCATTCGGTGATCGCTGCCGGTTTTCACCCTAGCGATCACTGAGACATCACTGAACAGTTGTCGTCTGGTCGTCATAATCTCATTTTTGTCGAACCGTCGGGGCTCGACCAGGTCCACTTCCTGTGGGGCCGCTTCTGGAAGAAAGAGTTCATCATAAAGAGTCCCTCTTTCTCCATGAAGTCGGCCAGCTGCTAGCCCCTTGGGTTCCGTTGCCCTATTCCAAATTTCCCTACTTTCAGCTCACCATTCTCTCTTGTGCCTAGTTTTGCATTGAAGTCTCCCATTAACACCGTATGTTGGGTTTTGGAGGAATGCATGGCTCTAGATATATCCTCATACATTTCCTCCACCTCCTCATCGGGATGTGCCTAGGTTGGTAAGTAACCCTGTATGACCTACAGCGAATACCGTTTGGTGATTCTGAGTATAGATGTACGGAACATTCGTCGACACACTCTCAATCTTTACAACGTTGTTAACGAGAGACTTGTGGACGATAAATCCGACACCTCCTTGGGGCATATGGTCGCCCTCCCGGTGATGGAACAAGTTGCCGGATTTCAGGATTACCATGTCCTCCCCCTCTCTTCGCGCCTCAGATAATCCTATAATATTCCAGCGCAACTTGTCTATCTCTTCTTCCAGCTCCAGGATCATCTCGTCAGTCCTCAGGGTGCGTGCGTTATATATTGCCAGGTCGAGTCGTCGTAGGTGGCAACCGAACCTCCACCGGAGATTCTTAGTACCCCCTACCCCGCTGTTACCATGGTCGCCACCGTAGCCAGGAATACCGGGGCTGCCGGGGACTGGGGACCGTCTCTGCGTAACTTTAATCATGGGGGGTATATTGCCATAGTTGCCACACTTAGCGAGGGGGTTGGCAACCGCAGTTTTTTATTGTTGTTTTACTGTTATCATAAAGATGCCGCTGCCCATCTTCTGCCTCATTTTCCCTCTGTCGCCTCTTACGACACCCACAGGAAGATATGAGGTAGTGGGTCTTCTTACGCGACATTACACGGGTATTGTGTACGGTATAGTGTGTCCATGGACGGCTATATTATTTATCTTTGATTAAGAATCGAAATGCAAATGTGTTGTCCTAAGGATCAAAAGCGAACCATACCTAGTCGTTTCCAGTTAATTAAAGGGATCTCCTATTCTAGTCATTCATTAAAAAACAAGAGAAACATTCCGTGGAAGTGTGGTCCTCCACCAGTCAAACCGATTCTTTCATGCTGCAGCCATAATAAGATTTTACACACTTTCACAAAAAATACATGCAGTGACAAACATTATCATTATCATCATCATCACTACAGCCCTTCACAAGGTCACTGCTACTGAACCTTAGGTTCAGAGCCACCTGCATTCATCGACTTACTGAATGTCTTACAAGATCGTTACTCCATCTATTGGGGAGCTGTAACTGACTTACATTAAATTGATTCTAAAAAAAATGGCACAGTAAACATATTTTCTTACCTGACTGATTCGCTACAGTTTTAAGGAAACTAATCCATTCTCTGCTTTTTCGCTTTGTCCAACATTTGATTACCATTTGTCGACTTTGATTCAATATTTGAAGGCCGTGGTTTAGCCCCGTGGAGTACATTCCACTTGATACTTCAAAACTGAAAAAATTAAGAACTCTTTACATTTTCACTATACTTTACCTTCATTCGTGTGCGAACAAAGACTTTTAAAAACTATATAATATGATATAATTATCACCATAACTCATACCAATTCTACTACTATACATAGGCCTCTCCCAAGGAATGTCAAAAAGCAATGATGAGCCACCTGCATCCACCGACTTCTTGCATCTCTTACAAGGTCGTCATTTCATCTACAGGGGGGCCGCCCTACACTTCGCTCTTCGGTACGGTTTTGCGGCCGGCTCATTGCCACTTCAGCTTATTGATCCGTTGGACTATTTCGGTTACTATGGTTTTTATTGTGGATATACTCATTTCGAATTCTATTTTACAAAAGCTCCGAGTATAGCCGTCTCTATATTGTCAATGGCAATGCGCACTGTTTGCACACTCTGGTTTTCGAGTTTTGAGGCATATGTGATGAGAATATGTGAGTAATCCCATAAACGCTGGCCAGCCGATTTAGATCCGTCGATTAACATCTCGTTCGAAGTACGACTCTTCTATTCGGACAGTTTGTTCTAGGTACAGATGTTTTAACTCACGTAGGCGGGCACGCAGTGCTTGCTTGTGTGGGTAACTGCAGGTAGCGTTAGCAAGTTCAACTTTGTTAAACAAAACATACAAGTAGTTAAATTTGTGTTTCATCAAGTTAAACCCAAATTTCGGCGGAATCAAAGGCAGTTTGATTCTAGCAGTCCATAGTCGCAATACAAAGTGGCACAGTATTCTTCGGTCTTCTTTACAATATGCCGAAGGGTATTTTAAAAGACTATTATACTAAAGTATTTTCGGAAACCGAATAGTTCGGAAGGCTGGAAGTTCTGAAGTCAACATGTAGACTATTATCATTAGATGTATGTAGCAACTTAAAAGGGAAATCGGTCTGTAGTTCTTCAATAGAACGTTGTCGCTTTTCATGAAGAATTAGACCACCACCGCACTTTTGCTCTGCGCCTCTATTATTTTTGTCATCATGGAGGATGGAAACGAATAACTTCTGAAGGATTTTAACTACCAGTTTCTCCGCCCGCTTTCGAAAGTTCCGCTGTAATTCCACCCTTAGAAACAAGCATTATAATCGAATTAGATTGGCATAATGATTTCTTATATTTACGCGAACACTACACATTTAAATAAAACTAGTTTTACGAATTTTTTCGCGTATATTAACTTATTGTATATTCCCGATGTTTCGAGTACTTTACAGCACCCATGGCCACGGGAGGGACTGATATGTTTGACGTCCCAATGTCATAGTTAGCCACGCCTACCTCCAGATTAAAAATTATTAATTTTTGTTCCAATCTACGCAGTATGAACTTACACTATCTTGAAGTCTTGCAGTTGTATGCTTGAGTTGGGATTTAATTTTATTAATTATAGGATCCCAAGCAGATGGTAGCACCCAGCCATTTTAAATTTTGTTTTACGTTTGGTTGGCATTCTAATTCGAATATAATCGAGTCAGGTCAATGTGTGTCAGGATAAGACTTGCTATTGGATCGTTACTCAAACGTGTGGTTCCAATGACTGTGATGTATACAGCTTTCAGTGAAACCTCTCAAAGTCACTCGAAAAGGCATGCAACAGTCGGTCTTCAACTCTGATGGTTGACTCTATGCGAGAAAGAATAACCTAGAGGCTGTTAGAAATAGAAATTGCAACTAATGCCGGCCACTGCTAGTTTTTTTAAATTTTAAAATATATCAGTTCGTTATAATTTCAATAGAAATATTTAAGATGCAGATTAGTTTTAACAGGTTCCCTTTCCGCGTATAGACACAATAGTTAAACAATTGAAATGTTCATTATGATTCACGGGACAGGGAAAGGGTTAACATTGTCACAAAAGTTTAGATTTGGTGGCAGCAAATCAAAATCAAATACATTTATTTGCATAATACAGGTATAAAAGTTGTTACAGAAAATTAGAATATGTACACTGTATTATTACCTTATGAGGTGTGCAAATACAATATTGGGCTACATATTACTAATTAAATAATTGTGCCTTTAAATCAAAAGAAAAATATGAAGAAAAGAAAATTCAATAGTTGAGTAAAGTCCATAGGGCATAATTGCTGTCGTACTAAATATCTCGGAAGTTATATAACGTGATAATCTTCAGAAAGTAGAGAAAACTATAGATTTAATTTTGTTGAGTCATGTAATTCTGTAGCAAGGTACAATGGCGAATCAGTAAGAACGAAAAATGTCGTAATAATTAATTAATCTTGCAATTAATAAAAATATCGTATCAATAGCCTGTACTATAGCTACACATTGACAGTAAAAATTTGCTAGTATGGAACTAAAAGATGTTACAACTAATTTTATGTTAACTGAATAGTCAGGGTACACTGTAGGTACCGCTATCTATGCTATGGATCCCTGGTAAGACTCACTTCACATAGCATGATGTAAATAACACTATTGAATATAGATAATTTATTAGCACTTTAAAAATGAATATGATTTTAGAAACAAAATTTAATGATTCATCTTAAAGTACAAGACAAATAGCTTTCATGACTATTTTCAGGGTACAGTTATTATACATTAAGATAAAGTGTAAATAGTTACGTGTGATGAGCGCGTGTTGGTTTTTTGATGAACGCGATTGGTTAAAATTTTAGCACAAACGTTAAATTTATTTATTAGTTATATCTACGTAAAGTACTTACTCTGCCACGAGCTGCGTGAAAAGAAAATAATATATATTAACATTTTTACTCTATGTTATTTCTCGTTAGATATGGGGGCCTATATAAAAAATTTAATGTGTTATTAAAAACAAGTAAAAAATGTTGCAGGACATTATTTATTTATTATTTATTTCTCTCAAAGCATTACATGAATAAAATTATAACCTAAAAGCACCCTCACGGGACTGTTTTTTCACATATTGTTCATCAGAGATAACAAATTACGAGTATTTGCATTTTGATTCTTAATCGAGGATAGATGTAGGTGCCATGCATCTACTTACCATTAGACGGATTGTGTGCTCGTTAGTTACTCTTGCTAATATAAAAGTGAAGTATCTATTGTTTACAGGAGCCTTTTCCTATTAGGTCAGGTCATTTTTTATTAAAAAAAAATTATGTGAAACCTTGATCATAGAAGGCTCTTTATAAACTGTCATATAAAGACTTACTTATAAAGTAGAAAAAATGTAAAATAGTTTGGAAAATCCAAAAGTGCGTGCCTCATAATCGTTTCATTTAATTTTGATGAAAAAAACAATTTGTATTCCTGATTTTTAAAATATATTATTTACGTGTTTTAAATTTAGCGCTCTATTATTTTAACAGGTAGTGTCACATACAGGGAAAAAATTAATAATGTTCCCAAAATAAATCGATTACACAAAGTGTAAAATCGATATAGGCCGATATAAACCGACATGGCACATTTATCCTTTGTCTATCAAGGGCTAAAAAAATATGAAAGCGCCTTTAAATTTTTAATAGCAATAAAATTTATAACAGTTGAAGATCATTTTATTAACAAATTACGCCTCCTAGGCTATTGATATGAAATAGGATTTTCTCCTGTGTCGTGGAGGCAGTTTACAAACATAAATTGTACGAGGGCAAACATCCAGACCCGGAACAATTATACAAATACTTGTTCCGTGCGGGATTCGAACCCGCGGCCCCTAGCGCAACAACTCATTGCTAAGCCACTGCGCCACGGAGCCGTCACCCATAGACCTACCTAACCTCAAAATGATAACATTTAACATCTCCAGTAGAAAGGGTGGAAGGGGGGGAGGGAGGGGGAGGGGGCGTTATCTCCTATCACAACTGTGAGGATTTCTAAGTGCTTAAGTATTTCTGGGTGATAAAAAAAACTATAACCACGAGGGTTGCGCTACGCTCCCGCCACAACCTTCTAACCTATTACAACTGAAAGTATTTCTGGGTGGTAAAAAAAATTATCACGAAGGCTGTGGTAAAAGCTAACGTATTTTAACTGAAAGTATTTCTGGGTGCTCAAGTATTTCTGAGCACGATAAAAGCTATCAACAATACACTGGAGAGGACACACGCAAGAAGAGCAACTAACGGCGGTATGCATAAAAATTAGTACGTCATGCGATTTGACACTTTACAGAGAGTAAAGACCACAGAAGAATAAAAATACCGTAGAAGTACTAAGACACTAGTCTTTGACATTGTCTTACATCCTTGTCTTGCATCCTACAAAATTCTGTATGCTATCCAGCTTTCACAGTAATATTACATATGTTCTTCAATGTTTTACACATTTTAGGTTATAATAGTTTTTTTATTTTCTCGAAAACGGTGCATTACCTTTTGATGCGAGTGGTATTGTTATAATCGGACACCAAACCTCTATCAAATAAAACACCTTGCTCTCCCAAATTCCTGCCAAACGATTCTAAATCCAACCTATCATTTCTTTCGCATTCGCAAACAATAGCCTATATGCTACATTCAGAAATAAAGTACTCGTATATTTTCCCCTTTGACAATCAAAATTTTAATTTCTATCGTTCTAATTTAAAGTTTTACTTTATACAAATAAATAAAATTGAAGTGTTTGTTTGTAATGATGTCAAAATTACAGCTTTTTACTAAATGCATATGAAAGTATATACGGCACTTATAACAAAAACACAATCTTAAAATTTTGTCTTTCTGTCTGTCTGTTTGTTCCGGCTAATCTCGAATTAGGGTTCCGCGCAAAGAAATTAAACCCCTAAATAACACGCGGGCGAAGTCGCGGGGAACAGCTAGTACTACCTATAACACGTATTGGGAAATAGTAAATTACGCCACTAGGGACGAAAGCATGACATTGCAACCCGCGTGATATTGTAAGAACGCGGGTTGCGATGTTATAATTTCCTTCCGTTGTGCCTATACATTTTTAAATCGTGTCTCGATCGAAATGAATGCACCTTAAAATGTATCATGACATAATATACTTTTGACATTTAAAAACAATAGAGCTAGAAAGACGCATGGGTATATTAATAAGTCATTGAATCGGGAGTTCAACTTTTTCGATTGCGTGGGAAAAAATTTGGCAACGATGATGAAGTGAAGTCGGCAATTTCGGCCTATTTTGACGCCCAAGATAAATCTTTTTTTTTTTTGGACGGTATTAAAGGTTATTTGACAGATCTAATAAATGTATTAGGGTTAAGGGAGAATACATTGAAAAAGAAATATAGTTTAATGTTTCCTTTCATTATTCTTCCGTCATTCCGCGAACTTTTTGACCTCCCCTCGTACGTACTTTCGATGAAGGTATGATAAAAAGTATGTTTATACTAGATAGATAGTATACTTCATAGTTTTTATGTATTTGTGTATAATAATCTTCTTAAAATGAAACTTACCCTTGGTCGAACAGCATAATTGCTTTTATGGTGCCATCTGTCGGCCGAATGTATCCGAAGAACGTGTCTTTAACGAACAGCCACCGCTCCTGCCATTTGGCGCACACGAGCCCCGTGCAGCAGTAGTGGCATCTGGAATTTTAAGTTGTTTTAGAATTTCACTGTATTCTATGTACTGCATTTAATTTAATGTTTCACGGTATACCGTGTAGTGACAGCGTAAGGCAATCCATTACCCCGTATCATCCCAGGTGTGTCATAAGAGGCGACAGAGGGAAATGAAATACTGAAACACAATTGGATAGCTACACCTTTTTCAATTTCTTAAATTATAGCACCTACTTAAAATGGCGACCCCATCATTCAGGCTCCGTTTATTTATCAAAAAGGAACTCTTGTTAATGAGCACTAAACGTGTACATTTTTATATATGAAGGAAAAACGTTGTACCCCTTTTTAAACATATTACGCGCAAAATAGAGTGTAAGATTTGACATAGTTTAAGTTTATATGCAGAAAGGGTGAAGAAAGCAAAAATTTATTATATATATGTGTTCCAAATACATTCAATAATATAAAATACATACATGATTTATATCTGTTTTCGTAAGGTGTTAAAATTTTTATGCATTACGATCGGACTTCGACACTAGTTTACATAAATAGATTGTACATATAATATACCGTTGCTTATATATTATATAAGCAATATAATAGATAAGAATTTGAATCCGTCATTATATTATGGTCGTAAACTCATCGCACAAGCGTTATTAACTTAGTTGGAGCGATGAAAAACATATATATGTGAAGAAGACGTGTCAACATGTATTGGGGCAGCGTAGAAATGAGAGGAAACCTGTGGCCAGTGAGAGTGGGAGTGAGCCTAGTCTATATAGGCTGTAACTTTATTTTATTTTCAGTCAAACAATAAAATCTGATATTAGAATAGAATTCCGAAATTATATTTTTTCCTCTTCTTCAAGTCCTCACCTGACACAGACCATTGTGCCCAGTAGTCCAAAACAATTGCAACCGGCCTGACCAGGCTGCGTGGAACCCGTGCGTTTCTGTATCATGCCTTCCTTGCCTTTGGAGCCCAGCTCCGATATGAAAGATATGTTGGACACTTCCAGGAACTTTACCTGCCATAAAACTTTGAAAGTTAAATCTTCAATCGGCACTGAATAAAAAGAAATTACTGATTTTAGCACGTATTAAATTGTTTCCAGTGCTTTGCAGCACACTTGGCAACTACATGAGATTGAAATGTTTGTCGTTTGATTAATAAGAACAAATTTTTTTTTTTCTTATTAGCAAACGACAAACGCTAATCCGAAAAATTGTGCGTAGCGGATTTCTTATAGAAGTGTGACAAACGAGCACACAGTCCTGATCGCAAGAAATGTTACAATTGTACACCTAAATTTATTCTCGAATAAGAATGCAAATGTTAATGTTCCCACCCCAGATGACTAAGATGGAATGCCTCATTGTCAGTCAAAAGGGTCTTCGGTTATCTACACTCACTTTATGGAACACAGAAGCACTATGCAGCCATTTCAAGCTGGCATTCTATGCTAGCGTGATGTATAGCCGCCCATACCGTCCGTGATATATAGGCCTATGTCTAGCGGTGAACTCTTCCAGGCGGTGATGAGCAAAACGAAGATATAATTGACAAAGCACTGAAATAATGTGACTGAATAAATTGTGCCACGATATATCCAAATTTTTATTTCCTGACTATTGCATATTATCACAGCAAAGGTAGCATTAGTTATGTTTTCACGGTACTGTACCATTGAAAAAGTTTTTTTTTAATTAAGATTACGAGGTCAGACTTCTATCTTTTTTACAGTCCATATGATGGTAAGCGAGCTACTGCAAATCATGAATAATTGGAACTAACTTTAAACAGAAGGCCACGGATGCGTAGTCAATCCTCACTATGAAATATCTCACAGCCTGTAACTCTTTAAGCTGGGACATAGAAGTAAGTAGCCGCTCAATTTCACCATCGCACATCGCGGCAAAATTCGCGTTACCATCTATACCATCTGGATGATTGGCGGTCCACCACTGTGCGATTTAGAAAAAGTTTTCTCCCTCGCACAACTTCCTTGTGGAATCAATTACCACCAGCGAATTTTCCGGACCGATACGACTTAGGAACCTTCAAGAAAAGAGCTTACACCTTTTTAAAAGGCCGGCAACGCATCTGCAATTCCGCTGGTGTTGCGGTTGTTCATGGGTGGCGGTAGTCACTTACCATCAGGTGAGCCGCATGCTCGTTTGCCCCCTATTCTATAAAAAAAAACATAAAAAGTTATGGATATATTTCAATTTAAAACATGTTTTTATTATTCTGCTTAATAGGCGAAGGACATCTTTCATAACGCCCGGTCAATTTAACGTTTTCAATATTAAGTTGTATTATCCTCTCATATTGAGCATTTTCAAACTTTTTTTATAGGATAGGGTGACAAACGAGCACACAGTCCACCTGATGGTAAGTGGTTACTGTGACCCATAGACATCCACATCTATCCTCGATAAAGAATCAAAATGCAGATGCATTGTCACCCGTGAGGACTAGGATGGAATGCCTATTTTCCAGTAAAAAGGTTTTCCGGTTCTCTACACTCACCATACGAAACACAGTAGTGTTAAGCTGCTATTTTACGCTGGTATTCTGTGAGAGCGTGGTCCTCCCCGGGTCGAGCCGACCCATTCGTGCTACAACTATACTAGTAATATAGCTGCAGCATGGCTCTACTACGTAACTGTTCGGACATTATTCATTCACAATCAATTCAATCACATGGTAGACGACAGATACACTAGTTGAAGGCAGATAACATTATTAAATTAAACATTCATTCAATATATAGTGTTCGCATAAATATAAGAAATCATTGGGATAACATAATTTATCATATAAGTCGAGTTACTACTAACAACTGCAATCTTATTGAACTAAATATACAGGGTTATTTTGCAATGTTTGCCCAAATTTGCAAAGAAAGTTCAGTATAAATAATACGAATGGTGCAAAAAATAATAATAAAAAAAACTTCAAACATTAAGTCCTTTTTATCTTTTAAATTCATAATGCGTGGTAATGCATTATTTTAACTGATTGTTATTCATAAATATGTAACGCCTACTATTTTATTACGCACGCACACATTCGTAAGGGTTGCTCTGTCACAAACTTATGTACCTTGTTGCGCGTCTTCCCTTTCCTTAACCGTTACACCGTATACCGTATCTACGTCCGGTCGCCCGGCTGACTGACAGCTGACAGTGTTGAATGGACCTCATTACGTACGTGTGTGCTATTTTTGTATTTTCGTAGGTAGTGTCGCTTCGTTACCAATGACGGAACGTATATACTACGAAACTGTTAAATGAAGCGGCATTACATTTTAAGCAATGTTAGTTTACGTGGTGCGCAAAAATTAAACAAAAGTGAATCACGGAGGGAAACGGATTCTATTTTGAGGTTAGGTTAGTTATTGGGATCATTTGCGGAATTTAGTTGCAAATAGTTTATTCCATTTTAAATACGACCGTCATCAGTTACGCGGTTGATAAGCAAAAATATATTTATTATGACGATCCAAAGCCCGTTAAAAGTGTAAAAGGAAAATTAGAATCATAATTCCCGTCATGTAGTTGTTAACTTAAGCATTAATTAAGTAGTGAGCGAGTTACTAAGAAAGTAAACAGTAAGCAATAACTTTGTGAATTGAATCGCACACACTGGAGCTCGCGTACGCGTAGTTGTTGCCCACAAATCACATTCAATTGAATAGCGGATGATGTCAAATTAAATTAGAAGCCTTATTTACTCGTATTTTCAAAAACTGCCATAATGGTATATCATTATTTATATATACTCGTACGTCAACCTGTATAGTTCAAAAGCAGCAAAGAGTAAAGAAAATTCCCTTTCTTACCGTTTCATGGTGGTTTCTGTAAATGGAAATATTAAGCAGGTTGAAGAGATACTCTTCCAGTTGTTTCATCCTCAATTGTATGCCTTCATAGGTGATCATAACCTCTGGTTTCTTTGGAAACCTGTAAAAATACAAAGGATGAATTTATGACAGTTTCGATAATCATCATATGAATTTAAGTCGGAAGAACTAGTTTTATGTTAAAATTGCATTGTACTAACAACACAACGTAGTAAGGTAAATTTTATCAGAATAGGAGAGTGGTTACTCATCATTTATCATCATCATCATTACAGCTCTTTACAAGTCCACTGATGAACACTGGCCGCCCTCAAGGACTGCCACAAAGCACGGTCCTGAGTCACCTGCATCCATCAACAACCTGCATATCTTACCACATCGTCAATCCGTCTAGTAAGGGGTCGGTCTACACTTCGCTTACCAGTTCAAGGCTCTCTCTCGAGAACCTTTCTTCCCCATCGGTTGTCGGTTGTTCGCGCTGTTGGGCTATGTCGGCTTTTTGGTTCTACTGCGGATATACTTATTTCTAAATCTATCACGCACAGATATTCCAAGCATAGCTTTCGCTATAGCTCGCTGAGTGATCTTGAGATTTCTCATAGGGCAAGCAGTGAAAGACCACGCATCAGATCTAAATGTCATCACTGGTAACACGCACTGGCTGTACAATATTGTTTTCAAGTTTTGACGTATAACTGACTAGAAGATGTGTTGTAATCTCCCGAACGTAGTCCAGCCAAATGAATACGATTGACTTCTCGGTCGAAGTTGGACTTAACTAATCAGACAATTTGTCCTAGGTGAACATACTCGTTGACAACTTCGAACAGTGCTCCTAGCAACTACTGACCTAGGTGTGACATGGACATTGACACATGCCCTTTGTTTTGTCCAAGATTTTAAGACCTATCCGTTGGGAGACACTATGGAGGTCGTTCAGCATAGTGCTGAGGTCCCCCAGGGATTTTACCATAAGGACTATATCGACGGCAAATTGAGGGAGAGTGATGCTCGCCATTGATGTTAATATCGTAATTTATCCCAGACAAGTAGTTTAAAAACGTCTTCCAATACATCGTTGCATTTTCGGGGATATAACGCCACTTTGTCTTACACCTCTGCAGTTGGATAGGTGTTGTACTCAGACAGCCATCGTAGCCCAGCTGTACAAACACTTAAGCACTTCGATATATCGAAAGTCAACTTGGCACCGCTAAAACGACTGTAGCACCGCCCAGATTTTAACAGACTTTCTAATAGTCAACATACACAAGACATGGAAGATTGTACTCTTCGGTCCTCTGTACAATTTGGGTATGTTCGGGAGGCTGGAAGTCGTCGAGTTTGCGTGCGGAAAATTCGTAATGACTCTCGAAATTAAAACGTAGGCGCGGCGCAGAGGGGAAATTGGTCTGTAGTCCTTTAGTAGCATTATCGCCTTTCTTAAAGAACAAGTCGCATTTCTGCTCCACGCCTCCGGATTAGTGCTACCACCGGAGGATGAAATTGAAGTACCAGTTTTGTACATGCTTTCAGAAGCTCCGCTATAATTCCATCCCTACCCGGGTTTTTACCGTTTTTATGGTGCTGGGGAGCCATTCGTATCTCAGACTAACGTCCGGAATCATCTGAATAATGTCGGATGAGACTTGCTCTAAGATCGTTTCTCACACATACGTGTGTCTCTAACAATGACGTGTATAGCCGTCCGTAGAACCTCTTAATCTCATTCAATATCTCAGGTGTCCGGGAAACGATGTCGATCTTCACCTTTGACAGTTGGCCATTCGGATCGATAAAAATAATTTTACGGATTTTATCGTATTTTTTAAACTCCTGACGTTTCGAGTGCTTTGCAACAATGGCATCTTGATGCTATAGTTAACCTGGATCGTTAAAAGCAGAAGGTGTTCCATTGTAAAATCCATCCATTACATTAGTTTCACTCGATTCTAATACTTTTACGAGATATAGAAGAACAATTTTTTCGTATGGAAATACCGCCGTCGCTGTAATCGCTACGTTTTGGTTGAACATCGGAAGTAAGTAGTAGGTATATTAATTAGGCGGTAGGACTTTTTAGTACATCTTTCTTACGTATTTCTGCCGCCTAGCAGTATTGCGTACACTGTTGTGCTCCTTCCTTAAGGGGCGTAATAATTTCAGACTGTAAGGCAACCTTACGCGTTTGAAGTTGGTGGCAGGTGATCATGGACTGGATCACTTACAATCAGGTCGACTGTAAATTCCTTTGTTACTTAAATTTTATAAAAATAAAAAAGTAGCTAGCAGATGGCTCATAGTACGGGCGGAAAAGCGGTCGATACTGTTGTTGATAACACTTTCGCCGCTGTTTTGAGAATTTGAGTTTATTCTCGCCAATACGCCGAAGTGCGTTTCTTTTACTCTTTTGTTTATTTCGCTGATTTCTTTAAAAATGATACTAATTACGTCCTATGGTTTTATTTTGTGATTTTTTGCTGTTATTAAGTGGCGTCAAACCTACTAATGGATTTTAATTATTATTGATAATACATCAGTCAATTTCGTAACGGGCATAAAACATTACGATTCGGATATATGAATAAGAAATCCCCAAAAACATACGGACAATTCAATTAAATTTAAAGCCTCGTATAAATGGCGTTAAATAATATTATAACTACAAAATTTAAACCTGTTTTTGAATATGGTTAAACAAGGCACATTCATTTGATGGTTGGTTTAATATCCATTATGCATTCATTACAGCTTATCAATAGTCTACTGCAGAACATAGACCTCCTCCACAGATTGCCTTATAAAGGATTGCCGCGCTTGAAAGGTGGTGTTTTAATTATTTTTAATTTTTATCAGAAAGATGCCCTTAGATAGTGTATTATTTTACTCCGCAACTACACGGCTCAATATTTCAACCAATTATTTGTAACTAATAACTACTAACTCGCGGCAGAACTCCCGATACCATCCACACCATCTGGATGATTGGCGGTCCACCACTGTGCGATTTAGAAGATGTTTTCTTTCTCGCACGACTTCCTTGTGGAATCGATTACCATCAGCGATTTTTCCGGACCGATACGACTTAGGGACCTTCAAGAAAAGAGCGTACTCCTTTTTAAAAGGCCGGCAACGCATCTGCAATTCCCTCCCTGGTGTTGCAGTTGTTCATGGGCGGCGGTAGTCACTTACCATCAGGTGAGCCGCATGCTCGTTTTCCCCCTCTTATAAAAGAAAAACTACATACGTTTGAATGTATAACTGCTCCAATGTATGCTTTCCTAAAAAGACATATTTTCAGCCATTGAGTTATATATACTACGTACTAGAGAAGCCTTTCTAAACAAAAAATGTGCACTACTCTATGTCTTCGTGCATGCGCGGGAGTTAGTAAAGTCGCGCATGCGCAGTTGATTTAAGCGCCTTGCGCCTGCGCGGTCAGTTTATATAAAGAAATATATTTTTTCATGAATTTTTCTTTTGTAATATTACGATATTATTACCTATTTATTCACTTGAACTTGAATAATTTTGCTTACTTGACTACTGAATTGTCATTTATGTCCAGGTTTAAACTTTAATTTGAAATCTTGTATTATTAGCGCCGCTCCACACTGCATGAATATTGAAACCACAGACTAACTGGTAGATTGAAATCACACTAAATGACACACTGTACGGATTGCAGTACAGTTCAGTTGAACACAGTGTATGTTCGGAATGCGCAATCTAGTACGTAGTACATATATATCGATGATTTCAGCGGTGGACTTGAAGCGGGTGGTAGTAATGACGATGATAATACTTTTTCAATTACCTAGGTAAGGCGCCTTTCCTCTTTCTCGTCCTCCCCTCTCTTTTTTTTGGATTGTTCCTCGGTACAGCTTCTAATGCTATTTTCTCGGCCATTTCCTCGGTATTCACTGTGTTTTTTAAGCTTGCTCTTCTGCATTTGTGCGTTTTTGTTGGAAATGGTATGTCGAGAGACGCTCGGTACAAAGTTAACTGTTGGTGCAGGTACAATATATGTTTGTATCTCCTTTTAATCGTCCACGTGAATTCGCCATGTTGGAGAGAGATTGTATATCTGCAGAAGTAAATAATTTTAAATACTTGGTTATTTTAAAATATTATAACGTGATTAAAATTTATTGAGCTGAGGATGGACTTCTGCAAGTGGTGGTAATATTACGCGATCGCAGCTCCAGAAGTTTGAATATTTTTATTTTAAGAATTTCGTTATTTGTAATCCATCTTGCACCATAATCAGTGGCTGAAACGTCGCAAACTATCATCAGTATTAAAATTAAGATAAAATTTGTTACTCTAACTAAAAATAGAACATACCTACATACAATAAAGGAAAATAGTACAACAATTTTGTGTCATAAAGTCAAATACCTGAAGTTGTTACTATTTCTTAAATGTTTTTAAATGTAAAAAAAGCAGTTTTCAGGGAACCCAACTATGTAAATAAATATTGCTTAGCTTTTACCAACTCGATCTACGATTATGTATTTAACAGTGCTTGCATCTTCTAGAAGTTACAAAGAATAACCTTGAAGCGAAAAACTAAATCCTGGGTCCATATTACACTTATATCATTTTAATATTAAATATACATATAGAGATGTACAAAGATAATAAGCCTAATACATGTGTACAATATATGTGTACAGATATATAGATATTAGCCTATAGTAAACATGTAGTTAGATAACCTAAGTAATTTCACATTCGATTTGCAAACCTATCAATATCATATTTGTATGATGCTTTGGCACACTGTTATCTTTTTAAATGGTAATGAATCATACTGATTAACGCATAACGAAGTGTATATCATGCATTCATATGTATTATTTGATGACCCATTTTTGTCTGGGTTCAATTCAATTATACAATTATGGCCAGGAGTGAATAACGACTATGATGCATGCAAAGAGTCTATAATCACTGTGTTTTAGTTGAGTATATAAATTATACTATACTATTATTAGAATACTATATATATTTACGTGGTAGAGCCACGCTGCAGCTATGGGTCGCAGCACGAATGGGTCGGCTCTACCGGGATGAGACCACGCTCTCACAAAATACCAGCGTAAAATAGCAGCTTAATGCTGCTGTGTTTCGTAAGGTGAGTGTAGAGAACCGGAGACCCATTTTACTGGAAAAGAGGCATTCTATCTTAGTCCTCACGGCTGACATCGCATCTTGCATTTTAATCCGCAAACGAAGATAAATGTAGATATCTATGTGCCACAGCAACCACTTACCATCAGGTAGACTGTGTGCTCGTTTGTCACCCTTATTCTATATAAAAAATATATATTATAATCCGATAAATGGCGGTATAGCTGTCTCGTTATCACCAGACGCAAAATATTCAGACCGGCGACGGGATGCAGTGTTAAAGGTGCGAGACCTCTATTAAACGTGTCACACACTAGACAGATACGATATTATTTTATCTGCGTATAAAAACATAATTATCTGAAACTATCACACACTACGCAGATGCGATAATATACGAAATTATATATTTACTCGTAATCCTTCAAACTTATAAGACGTGTTTTTGGAGAGGATTGTTTATACAAAGTGTTACCTACAATGAGTTGGCGTATATTGCTTCTAGATTTGCTAGAAAGCTCGTCAGAATAGGATTCAGTTTTTGATTTTGATTCACGTGTTGCTTTAGCATTTACTAAAAGGCGAATAATTTGGATAAACGTCATATGAAGCTTAAAAAGGACCGAGGCGAATTTAATCGCATTTTTCAGCGATCACATGTATTTATCTACAGGTAAAATCCTATGCCATATTTGTATGAGCAGATAATATTATCACCATATATTATGTCGGTACTTAGAGATACTTAACGATAAAAAATATCTGTTCTGTGTTCATTGAATTTCATAGTGAGAGATATTGAAAGATATCAGATACAAATACTTATCGTATCTGCGTAGTTTGTGACACGCTTTACTGCTATAGCATATCTGGATGCAATTGTTTATTAGGCGACGGAAGAAAGGAAGAATAAGGTGTTTACATTATATTATATGTTTAATGTATATTTATAAGTATTTATCTATTCATTTTATGTGTTTATGAATGTGTGTTACTTATAGATTGATTGGTAGATTACTAACGTGGTAAATCAATGCAATGTATTGTGGGCCCTGCATATATGAGGCGTAAAAAGAAAAATAATTCTAAGACATAATATGAAGTCCGCCAACGCGCATTGAAGCAGCACAGCGGTCATTTTCTTATCCATAAAACCCTCTCAAATATGAAACGATGCCCGTGCCCAGCAGTGGGACGTATATTATAGGCTGTAACCTTAATTTTTAGGACCTCGCCATAAATTTCAAAGTACACTAGCAAACCAAGATCGAACCCCGTAAGTACCAATAACTTTTTTATTAGTATTTTAAGTGCTAATTTACAAAATGCTTGGGTAAACTTTAAAATGAATTAGACGCCCTGTAAAGTCCACCAACATGAATGGAGCAGTTCGACGGACGAAGTACTTCAGAAATAAGAGGTGACCTGTGCCCAGTAGTGGGATGTATGTGTTGAAACTTTAACTTTTAATTGATTTGTTGATTAATACTTACAAATTGGGATTGAGCAGATGCGTAGTGACGCTCCTTTCGTTTTCTATAAATCTGACCTTTATTTCAACGCCTGGTATAAATACTTTTCGATGCACCGAGTTGAATTTTATGGGGGGATTGTGGATGGCTTTGAAAGGTACGCTCGCATGTGGGGCTGCAAATTATAAAGTTATATCCATTAAAAGTTTAGAACGGGAATTGTATAGATCGATCTCTGTATGTTAGTCCACCTATGTCTCTCTTATACGCTTTTTTGATAAGACATTATTGATTGTTGAATGAGAATTAAAATTAAGATGCCTTGTCACCCCCGAGATCTAAGCTGCCTTGTTACCAGTAAAAGGGGTCTCCGATTCTCGTCACTCACCATAAGAAACACAGTGGTATCTTGCTGCTATATATGTACCTACGTTGCTATTCTGTCCGCGGTCGATCCAAAGTGGTTATAACAGCCTATCTCTACCACGTAAAAAATCATGTGTGATACCAGCGTTTTTTTTTATAGGATAGCGTGACAAACGAGCACACAGTCCACCTGATGGTAAGTGGTTGCTGTGGCCCATAGACATTTACGTCTATACTCGTTTGCGAATCAAAATGCAGATGCGTTGTCACACGTGAGGACTAAGATGGAATGCCTCTTTTCACAAAACAGAGCAGCATTAAGCTGCTATTTTACGCTGGTATTCTGTGAGAGCGTGGTCCTTCCCCGGTCGAGCCGACCCATTCGTGCTACAACTATACCAGTAATATAGCTGCAGCATGGCTCTACCACGTGAAAAATCTACTTTTAAAACGCGACGAAAAGGACGAGAGAAGACAGTTTGACTATGGATTGATTGATAACCTACGAAAAAGTTGTTTGTGAGATGGAAATGCAATGTGATATGTAGTGGTGGCGTAGGCATATCCACTAGCACGTGTCATCACCCTGGATGTAGAGTAAGAGGCCGCAGTTTGAAACAGAAACAGGAAATGGCCAGCAGCATCTTCCTGATAATAACTCAATAATAATAAAAATACTGCGGTTGCTAATGCGGTTCCCAAGCGTGGCAACTATGGCAAAATCTTTTCGAAGAGGTTATGAGGGAGGCCTGTGTGCCAGCAGTGGAATTTTGATAGGCTGAGCGAATAAAGGGAAGTGCAAAAGAATTCAATAATAAAATAAAATAATGAAATAACGAATACATAAATTTTCTGCGGTATTTGTGATTACTTAATGAACCGTATGGTGTAACGCTGCCTAACTGTGAGTTATTCGTAGATTCGATAAGTTCTTAAATTAGTGCGGAGAATTCCACACGGGTGAGTCATTATACGTTGTCACATGTGCATCTTATGACCAATGTGGTCATTTGTAGTTCCTTAAAAATATGCTAACGTAGAATTTAAAATGAAAGTACAAAAAGTTACTCTTTATACGAGTGTTTGAATTATAACTTACGGTTTTATAAAAATCCAAAGTTGATTTTACTTTATTTTGCTCAAAGATCACAAGGTTTTCTATCAAAGCGTAGACCTATGGTCGTAAATCCGTCTACCATGGTAGACTGATTTACGACCATAGGTCGTGGCTACAACAACAAATATCCAAAAATATGAGGCAATCTATAGCCTAGTTTCAGCAGTGGAATTTCGATAGGCTGTAATTGATGAATAGAAGTAGTGTAAACTGCTTTTTAAGGATTTTCTCCGCAATCCGTAACAATTAGTTTCATTTAATGTATTTGTAAATTAAAAAATAAGACGAACCATAGTGTTTATTATTGTTTGATTATATGCTAGCTATTCCCCGCGACTTCGCCCGCGTGTAATTTAGGGTTTTACTTATGTTGCGCGGCACCCTAATTCTTTTTCTAAAATATAAGTTAATTTGCCCAAGTTACTCGTTATAATATCAGCTATCTCCCAGTGAAAGTCCCGTCCAAATCGGTCCAGCCGTTTCGGAGATTAGCCGCACGTTCGGAGTTGATAAGAGTTGAAATCTGAACGGGCGCAAAGTTCCATAGCACTTGTTTAAATCATAGGAATATAGATCTATAGAAATGAACAACATTCTTGAAACTGCTATGGAACTTTAAACTTTTCACATCTATGTTTCGATGGTTCAAAAAGCTTTCGACTAGAAGAAGGATTTTCCTTAGATTTAACCAGGTGGAATTCTACATCCAAGGGGTAATCCATAAACATAATTTAAAATTAAAAATTTTGTACAGCCGACTTCAATATAACTTATTTCTTTTTTTTTATTCGCGCCACAAGCGAAACACATCGCAGCCTAAATCGCGCTAACAAAGTTCCAAAGTTAAAGCAATATATATAGAATAGCTCCGAACTACTACCCGTTCGCAGAACACCTTGCCCAGCGGGAGATCTCCCCTTTTCCTTCCACCCGCTACAAACTCAATAACTATTGGTCTGACCTTGATCAAATTCATATCGGACCACTCGAGAAGTATCAGCTTGTAAAAAAAAATAAAAAAAGAATCAACGAAATCGGTTCACCCAGTAAAAAGTTATGAGGTAACACACAAAAAATAAAAATAAAAACATACAGTCGAATTGAGTACCGTCTCCTTTTTGGAAGTCGGCAGATAATACAAGTATTGTGTAAGTGTTACGACATAATTGTAGAGCCCAGTTGCAGACAACGGATCTGTATTTTGATCGAGGATAGATGATGATGTCTAATGGCCTCAGCATACACTTTGCATCAGGTAAACTGTTTGTCACTCTGTAAAAAAATGATTAATATTAATTGAATCAAAATTCAAACTTACTATTCGCATCGATCTCTTCTTTATTCCCAACTTTGTCCACTTCGATCACCGAAAGGGACTCTGGTACGGCAAGACTCTCGTCAAAGTCTGAGTCAACGCAAGTGGCCAATGAGTCCAGTTGCTGAAATATTCCCGGTAAGCAGTCGCCCGGGGTCGTAGGGGTTGGTGTTGCCATCGCGTAGTTTGTATAACTGTATAGTTCTTCATCTAAAATATTAAATATACTTTTACTGCCTGTGAGTAATGATAAAACAAATTCATCTGGACATATGATATGCTCTATATCAAGTGTTAATAAGAAAATTGAGCGTATGCTAGCGGGCTAGCTGAAAATGAATTTACTTACCTACGAACAAAATTATAAACAGTATCTATATTTATCTAAAGGTCAGTCAGCGAGAGCGAAAAGACGTAAAATTTAAAACACGAATAGTGGCGGGTGATTTGGGGTAGTGGATATTCTAAAAGAGCTACTACAGGGTACACATGGGCCAGCAGCCTTGAGTAAAGCCGGTTGGAATGGCTGGTAAATAAATTTTGGTACTCGGCACACCATTGAACTTAATATAAGTGGACAATAAAGATTTTTAAATATGGTCGCGGACTGCTTGATAATGTTCCGCAGGTCGTAAGTTCTCCTACAGCTGTGATCCGGTTTGGATGAAAAGAGAGCCAGTATAAAATATTCAAGGATGCCAGTGTACATTAAAATTTAAAGTTGGCTACGGACGGCCATAGTGAAGTGCTGAAGTGTTTGTACAGTAGGGCTACGATAGCTATTCAAGTACAGAACCAGAGTACGAAACCTATCCAACTGCAAAGAGGTGTAAGACAGGGTGATGTTATATCCCCGAAACGCTTCACTGCTACATTGGAAGACGTTTTCAAGCTACTGCACTGTAAAGGATACGGCATCAACATCAATGGCGAGTACATCACTCACCTTCGCTTTGCTAACGGTATTCATTATGGCAGAATCGGTGAAGAACCATAGCACTATGTACAATGACCTCAATAATGTCTCTCAAGCTCCCGACAGATAAGCCTTAAGATGAATTTGCACAAGACAAAGGTCTTTAACGTACATGTGACATCTCTTTCGACATTGGTAGCGCTACGCTCAAACTTGTTGATGAGTATGTTAACTTAGGATTAGGAGAAATTTTCCGACTAGGTAAGTCCAACTTCCAACCATCCAGTATCCAACTCGCTTAGGAAGCCACATTACGACACATCTTCTTATTATGTATGTATTACTAAAAACTTAAAAATAACAGTGTATAACCAGTGCATGTTGCCAGAGATAAGAGGAAGCTCAAGGCCGCTTAGCGAGCTACAAATAGGGATATGCTCGGAGTTTTTGTTTACATATAACAGATTTGTCTCATTGTCGAAAATCAGACAATTTGTTCTAGGTAGTCCAACTTCAACTGAGAGGTTAAGCGGCAGATTCAACTCGGCTGGGCAGCGTTCGGGAGGTTACGACATATTCTCGTATAGAAGTCTTGTTTTTAACTTTTGAGGTATATGTACCTCAAACCTTAAAAACAAGAGCATACAACCAGTGCGTGTTGCCAGTGATGACATACAAATCTGAAACCTGGTCCTTCTCCACCGGCCATTTGAGAAATTACAAGGACGCTCAGAGAGCCATGGAGATGGCTGTCCTGAGTTTCTCTGCGTGACAGACTTAAAAATGAGGATATCCGCAGTAGAACCAGTCTAACCAACGCAGCGCATCAGATCATTTAATTGAAGTGATAATGAGCCGGTCATATATCTTGAAGAATTTACAACTGATGGGGAAGAAAAGTTTTCGAGTGGCAGACTCATACCGGCAAGAGATGTGTAAGGTAGTCACCCTCTAGAAGTTAAATAGTACGCGTACAAATAAAACTTAACATGCTACTATAATATGTAAGTACATAATATTTCAATTGAAATTAAATTAATACAGATTTTCGAAAAAAAAGGGGTTGAAATTTAGAATCGTTTGGCAGGAGGGGAGGGCGGGGTATGAGGGGAGGGGACGGGGAAGCGTCCCCTTACTCCCGACACCACTCACATCAAAAGGTACCGTTCTTGAGAAAAACCTAAAAGAAAATCCCATAGACTTAACCTCATAATAGCATTTACCGTATCCGGCAGGAGGGGAGCAGGAGTGTGCCCTATCAGGGAAAGCCCCTCACCCTTCCCTCCTTGCGGAAAAGTATAGTTTATTAGTAACGGTTTTTTTGTAAAGTCATAACCTCACTTTTTTACACAGGAATATTGACCCAAAGTTACTTCTACAACGGCTTCGGCGCTGCGGGAAGTGCAGCCTCTTCGCCCTTGCGTAGCAAATGGCAGGCACCTGTGCGAGCCGTAGCGGCTGAGGCTGGATAAGCCGAAGTTGCGGAGGTGAGCTGCTCTCCCTCCACCCCTACGGCTTTACGAAAACACTCTAGGAGTAGGGCAGACAAGACTACGTGGAGACGGGGCGTGCTGGTTTAATTTTAGTACGGATTCGATCAGTTCCGATATCTTATCTATAAAGTCCACTGAAAGTATTTCTGGGCAGTTTTAAACAACTTCTTCTTGGCTCATGGTGCGAACTAAGTGGTGGTAGATTTTATGCCGCTACCATACGGCGAGGAGCCGAGTCTGTCGTTTCGGCTTTGTCGCTCGTTTAGCACCACCCGGGGGACACGTGTAGGGTGGGCCTAGGATTAGGTGGTCGAAGCCTACGGACGCGAGCGACTCATCCCCCACGAACGGCAGGGTCGAGAAGGGACGCCCTAGACGAAGGTTTATCGACCAAATCGGCGATACATTAAAAATGGGCCAGATTAGGAGTACCCTTAACTGACGAGCGTGTATGCGTAGATATATGGATGTAAAAGAGGCGAGAGAGGTGTGTCAGGATCGCGCCAAATGGAAGTCCGTAGTCTCTGCCTACCCCTCTGGGTGACAGGCGTGAGTGTTTATGTTTATGTTTTATGTTTTATGTTTTAAACAAATCAGAAATAAAACAGTATATTATAATCATTTCAGTATTGTGTGTAAACATAATTTATTATTTTTATTAATTCCTCAAAAAGATCTCTTTTATTCTTTATAATTTCTCTTCTCCATAAATATTAATATATCAAGTCGGTAAAATTTTCTCTATACATCATAGTTGTCTTTAGCGAAATATCTCTTGACAAAGAGTGAACACAGTAGAATAATCTGACACTAGTCTTACGTCCTTGTCGCACTTACACAAAATTCTCTATGTTATCCAGCTTTCACAGTAAGTTTTACGCATTTTAGGTTATAATAGTTTTTTTTTCTATAACAGTGCATTATTATTATTTTAATGTGAGTGGTATTATTATTATAATCAGGGACTAAATCTCTACCAAATAAAACACCTTACTCTCCCAAATTCCTGCCAAAAGATTCTAAATCCAACCCAAAAAAGGTCAAGTGCAAGCTATACTAAATCCATGTTAGTGGCGGTGTAAGAATATCCAAAACCCAATTTCAGTCACCGCTACGGCAAATAATACCCCTATGAGTCAATCTATGTCTCCCCGGTTTATGTTTAGCAGTGGACTTTGATAAGCTGTAATGAATGAATTAATTAATGAGATTGCTATACTTTTGTTAATTGTCACATACAAGTGTTCCGTGCCATCATAAGTCTACTTATTTGTATCCTCACTTTTTGGGTTATGCACAAAATCGTCCCTAAAACTACTAGTAGTCAAAATACACTTCAATGGTTGTCCTTGTTTTTTTTAAATATCCTCTTGTATTTCTCAACCTTGACATTGGCAGAGAATCATCGGTTAAACAATGGAGCCATTTTAAGAAGAAGAAGTCTGCCTATTGCAACTTTTAGTTTAAAGATGTCTACAATGAAGGTATAATAAACAGAGAAACCAAAATTTTATATTGTTTTTAATTGTGTCCTTTAATATGTAATTTTTATCTTACAATTGGAAATATTTTGATTAATGATGCATTTAATGAACAATTTATATAACCATAACTGATTGAAATATAACTGTTTTATGTGAACCATCAGCACAATACCATCTTGTTTACAGTAGACATAAAATAATCAGACTGGCGACAGGGAGCATAATATAGTCAAAGGTAAAAGACATCTGGTACTGTAATTGTGAATTTGCTTACCAAGCATGAAGTATAATTATCTTCCCTACAATGGGAAAGGTCCGTGTCCAGCAGTAGACTTTTACAGGCTGATTAAGATAAAATATTTAATATTTTTATTATAAATTTAATATCAAATACAATACAATTAATTTTTCACTAAGCAAATAACTATGGAGTAGATTATACAGGTAAAACTAGTAAGATAGAATTTTTTTAAAAGGTTCTTCTCTACATAGTATAAAACAAAGTCTCTTCCCACCGTCTGTATACTTAGAACTTAAACTAAAATTAAACTGCACAACAGATTTTGATGTGATTTTCATCAATAGACAGAATAATTTAAGAGGAAGGTTTATATGTATAATACATGCATATTATATATAATTCTTCTGTTTGTGTGTATGTGACTGAACTCCTCCTAAACAGCTGAACCAATTTTGATGAAACTTTGTGTGTGATTAAGTTGATTAGATTCACAATTGGACCCAGTAGGTGGCATTGTTGTCGAGATCCAGAAATCAACCGTGCAAAGCCGTGGCAGGTCACTAGTCAAATTATATTTAATAAAAAGTTAGTATTAAATATTTATAAACTTATATATTATATAAACGGAATTTTTCGGTGTGATAAAATTCATCTCAACATATGTCACATTAAAACCAAAGTAGCCAACATAACCCAATAGATGAGAAATTTTGAAGTAGCAATGTGTTGGCCCACAGATAATATAGGCCCGTCACATAGTTTTATGAAATGACAACCGATTCAAAAGAAAGGCTCTAAAATGCAAATTCTATACTGGTGAGCAAAGTGCATGGTAGTGCCTCACTAGACGGGGCAACAACCTTGACTTGAAGCACAAAGTTAATGGATGCATGTGGTTTAGGACTGTGTTTTGTGGCATTTCTTAGGGGCCTACATTTAGTAAAGGACTTTTGAAGAGCTGTAATGATAATGTTGATATGAAAAGAGTAGGTGTAAGTTGGAATGTGCCAAATTTTATCAGTAGCTTCTGGTTTAAAAGGCGAGGGTATATAAAATATCCACCTCCTAGGTGCATGTCCAGCATTAGACTTTTTTATATGTGGTAATAAATAATTGTAATAATTAATTAAGTGATTTTTTTAGATTTATGGTTATTTATAAATTTAAATAAATATTTTATTAATAATATACCACACTTTTTCCTAATAACCACACAATCTAGCTTAGTTCTGAGGGGTGACAATGCATCTACAATTGAGGATAGGACAAAGAATTTGAATCCCTTATTGTATAAAAACACACCAATATCTTGTACCTTTAAAACTCCAGTAGATGCAGTTCTACTGTAGAGTAGAATATATGAAATAAAAACTTAACTACTTACTCAACCACTTTAAATTCATAGTTATAAAATAAGTTATAAATACAATAAATACTACCATTTTACCATATTTTGTTTTGTTTAACATAGAGCCTTTGTATTTCAGATCAATTTATTGATTGTTTTGACACTGCTAGCGGAAGTGATAAAAATAAAATTATACATTTATCATTCATATCCAGCTGGTTAATTTTTCAACACTTATTAAACAAACACAAATTCTACACACACCTCTCTTAATAAGGTTATGGAAACTTAATGTCAACTCATTATGTTCCATAATGCCCCACGAATTTTTTTAGACACAATTAATTTCACTACATTGATACTGACTGTGACTGGCAATGTTCTTTCCATTACACGCTATAAATTTACCACTTGTGTACACAATCTTTTGTTGATAAGATAACGATACTATTGCGGTTATTTTCATTTGATTTTGAGGTTCACAGTAGCGACACGTCAATAATAAATTTACTTTGGATACTAAGCAGTTCATTTAGACAATTTCGTTGAGGATGACCTACAATGGTTCAATGAACAAGGCTGTGTTTCAAGGTCACTGATTATGAGAAATTAGTTATTATAAATCTTTACTTACAAAACTTTTTTTCCAGTTATTTCAATACGAACTCGCCATATTATATTTTCTAGAACACAAGTAGTGTTAGAGGTAGTACATTGTTTCTAAAAACTGGAAAACTATTTGAATCATAAGATTAAATACATGTTCAAGGATCTTTAGTGTAAAACTATTCTGATTTCTGAGTATTCTTATTCTGCCTGTCTGACAAACGCCTTATTGAATGAAAGCAGTGACGTGACGTAAACTTTAGTCAGTGGTTGTAAATATTTTAATAAAGGATCATCTCAATATTTAAAAATATCTTTTACTTACTTTTTTATTCCTGCTTTTAAACAGACATTACATTATATATAATATTAAGAGTACATTAAGTACAGTAGTGTACTTATTACATTATTTCTTTAACTTATATCTCCTAGCTTTGTCGGCAAAGCTCTTATTATTGACGTATTAAAAATGTAATAATGGATTAAATACAAACAGACATCCATTGATGTACTATTATTTCGACTGACAATTTAAGCCTTTCAAAAATAATGTTGTGAGGACCTAATTATCGCTTTATAGTTAATTTATTTGAGTTTATTAAATTGTTTGTGTCTCCTGGCTTGACGATTGACCAAACCAGAACCACTCCACTTGTGTCAATGTCAAACCTAACTCGAGAAATCAGTTCTATTTCACTGAATTTTCGTCCAGAAATAGGTAAGTATAATATGATAAAATATTAAAATAAGAAAGGTATGTATATTTATATATGCATAAATTAAACATGTATTGAAAACATTATGAATCATTATTGACAAATTAAAATTGAGTATGTAACGCCTTTGAAAAAATTTCATCTAAAATAACGCTTGTAGTTTTATTGTCATTAGTAGTAACAGGCGGCAGGCACTTCACTACATAATATTTCGTAAATAGGGGTAAATATTAAAAAAAAAATTGAAACTTGTGCACGACAGCATCGAAGAAGACCGGGCGGGCAGCATGGCACGACTAGTGGGGGCTCGATCTCGGAACTCTTCCTTGATTACATTTCATTATATTTCTTGGTAATTTAACATTATGATTTATTAGCGTGGAATGCTTTAACTAATTAATGTTTACTTAAGTACTTTAATTTGCAAATAAAAAAAACTAGGTTACCTACTTAGATTAAAAGTTATTTCATGCATAAAAAAGTAAATAAAGTAGGCTAGCCAAAATTATTGATAATATTGGGTGTTTATTTCTATGTTTATGTCTTCTATGTTTGTTCTTTTTACCCGACTGCCAAGGAAGGGTTATGTTTTTCGCGCGTATCTTGTATGTTTGTAAATTTCTTTATTACCTATAGTATCTTCCAAACAGCTGGATGGATTTCGACAATTAAGGTATCGTTTTATTCGTCTTAGAAACCTAAGTGTTCTTAGATAGTTTTTGAAAAAAATAAACAAAATGGCGGATTTTTGGCGCAAAATAGTAATACTTACGTTAATTAAAAAAAAACCCAAATCTATCGAGTAGGGTATCACAATAAAGGAAATTAAAAGGCGATTGCAAAAATGTATATAAGTTATATGTTTAAATTTAATTAGGAATAATCAATTCATCATCATCATTACAGCCCTTCACAAGTCCACTGCTGAATATAGGCCTCCCCCAAAGAATGCCACAAAGCACGGTCCTGAGCCACCTGCATCCATCGACTTCCTGCATGTCTTACCAGGTCGTCACTCCATCTCGTGGGGGGACGCCCTACACTTCGCCTACCGGTACGAGGCTGCCACTCGAGAACCTTTCTTCCCCATCGGTTGTCGGTTCTTCGAGCTATATGGCCGGCCCACTGCCACTTCAGCTTACTAATCCGTTGGGCTATGTCGGTTACTCTGGTTCTACTGCGGATATCCTCATTCCTAAGTTTATCACGCAGAGAAACTCCGAGCATAGCCCTCTCCATAGCTCGTTGAGCGACCTTGAGCTTCCTCATACGGCCAGCAGTGAAGGACCACGTCTCAGTTCCGTAAGTCATCACTGGCAACACGCACTGGTTGTACAATTTCGTTTTCAGGTTTTGAGGTATGTCTGACGAGAAGATGTGTCGTAGCTTCCCGAAAGCTGCCCAGCCGAGTTGAATCCGTCGATTGACCTCTCGGTCGAAGTTGGACTTACCTAGTCGGACTATTTGTCCCAGGTAAACATACCCGTCAACAACTTCGAGCTTAGTGCTCCCAACAACTACCGGCATAGGTGTGACATGGACATTGAACATGATCTTTGTTTTGTCCATGTTCATCTTAAAACCTATCCGTTGGGAAACACTATCGAGGTCATTGAGCATAGTGCTTAGGTCTTCCAGCGATTCTGCCATAAGGACTATATCGTCGGCAAATCGAAGGTGAGTGATGTACTCGCCATTGATGTTGATACCGTATCCTTTCCAGTCCAGAAGCTTGAAAACGTCTTCCAATGCAGCGGTGAAGAGTTTCGGGGATATGACGTCACCCTGTCTTACACCTCTCTGCAATTGGATAGGTTTCGTACTCTGATTCTGTACTCGGATAGCCATCGTAGCCCTAATGTACAAGCACTTCAACACTTCGATATACCGGCAGTCAACTTGGCACCGCTGAAGGGACTGCAGCACCGCCCAAATTTCGACGGAATCAAAGGCTTTCTCATAGTCCACATACGCCAGACATAGTGGCAAATTGTACTCTTCGGACTTCTGTACAATTTGCCGAAGGGTATGTATGTGGTCTATGGTGCTAAAGCCCTTTCGGATACCGGCTTGTTCGGGAGGCTGGAAGTCGTCAAGTCTGCGCGCGAGACGATTCGTAATGACTCTCGAAAACAGCACGTAGACGCGGCTCAGAAGGGAAATCGGTCTGTAGTTCTTCAAGAGAGCGTTGTCGCCTTTCTTGAAGAACAAGACCACCGCACTTCTGCTCCACGCCTCCGGTGTAATGCCACCATGGAGGACGGAATTAAAGAGCTTCTGAAGGACTTCAAGTACCGGTCTTCCACCCGCTTTCAGAAGCTCCGCTGTAATTCCATCCTCGCCTGGGGCCTTACCGTTTTTAAGGTGCTGGAGAGCCATTCTAATCTCGCTCAGACTGACGTCCGGGATATCTTCGGAATAGTGTCGGATGAGACTCGCTCTTGGATCGTTACTCACACTTGCGTGTGGCTCCAACGATGACGTGTACAGCTGCCCATAGAACCTCTCAATCTCACTCAAAATCTCAGGTGTCCCGGAAACGATGCTGCCACACTCCGTCTTCAGCTTTGACAGTTGGCTCTTTCTGGCAGACAGATCTCTGGCAAAGACTTTGGAGCCTTGGTTCCGCTCGATCGCTTCTTCAATATGAGCTGTATTGAAGTTGCGTAAGTCCCGCCGCATGCATTTGGAGATCTGTCTGTTCAGATGCCTGTATGCTGTCAAGTCAGTTGAAGAATGTAGCTTCATCTCCCGTCTAACAGCCATGAGATTAAGAGTGTGATCGGAGAGTTTTTGTGTTCTTCTGCGGCGGGTCTTGCAGAACTTAGCTCCGACCGCATGGACAGTTTTCACGAGCTTGTCATTCATATCGTCCACTTCATTGCAGTCTTCTAGACACTGAAAACGGTTTTGTAACTCGAGCTGAAAGGTTTCGGGACTTTGGAATATAGCACGAGGGGGACGGAGCGTTGACTTCATTAGACGAGACCTCTCCAACTTAACGTTTAGGTTCAGTGTGCCTCTAACCATTCGGTGATCGCTACCAGTTTTCACCCTCGCGATCACTGAGACATCACTGAACAGTTGTCGTCTGGTCGTCATAATAAAGTCAATCTCATTTTTTGTCGAACCGTCGGGGCTCGACCAGGTCCACTTCCTGTGGGGCCGCTTCTGGAAGAAAGAGTTCATCATAAAGAGTCCCTCTTTCTCCATGAAGTCGGCCAGCTGCTGGCCCCTTGGGTTCCGTTGCCCTATTCCAAATTTCCCCACTTTCAGCTCACCGTTCTCTTGTGCCTAGTTTTGCATTGAAGTCTCCCATTAACACCGTATATTGGGTTTTGGAGGAATGCATGGCTCTAGAGATATCCTCATACATTTCCTCCACCTCCTCATCGGGGTGTGCCGAGGTTGGTGCGTAAACCTGTATGACCTTCAGCGAATACCGTTTGGTGATTCTGAGTATAAGGTACGCAACCCTCGTCGACACACTCCCGATCTTTACAACGTTGTTAACGAGAGATTTGTGGACGATAAATCCGACACCTCCTTGGGACAGATGGTCGCCCTCCCGGTGATAGAGCAAGTTGCCGGATTCGAGGATTACCGTGTCCTCCCCCTCTCTTCGGACTTCGGATAATCCTATAATATGCCAGCGTAACTTGTCTATCTCTTCTTCCAGCTCCACGATCTTCTCGTCAGTCCTCAGGGTGCGTGCGTTGTACGTTGCCAGGTCGAGTCGTCTAAGGTGGCAACCGAACCTCCACCGGAGATTCTTAGCACCCCCTGCCCCGCCGTTACCATGGTCGCCACCGTAGCCAGGAATAGCGGGGCCGCCGGGGACTGGGGGCCGTCTCTTTGTTACATTCATAGGGGGTATTTGCCATAGTTGCCACGCTTGGCGAGCGGGTTGGCAACCGCAGTTTTTTTATTGTAATTTTGGCTATTATCAGGAAGATGCTGCTGCCCATCTCCTGCCTGTTTCCCTTTGTCG